TCACGGAGGAATCCCTTGATTTTAAGTATGGAATGTGGAATTTCATTTTTACGTTTTCCCCTGACGATGTACAATACTAGATTTAGGAATAATACAACCGGCGAGTTTCTTACATTGCCTCGTTTTCAGATCGATTTGTACAGCAATTTGTTGTACTATAATTTCCAAATAAATCTGCTTACACCAAACGAACATAGATCGGACGAATAGGAATCGTTTAAAATTGGTTTAAAACACCCTCTAAATAAGTGAAGATTGATTGTATGTAATTATTTGTCCCAGTACATTTTTTCCATCAATGTTTCACATATTCTAGATGAAAAGTCGAATTTAGATGCATGTGATAAACCCGAATTAACGCAGAGGCCAACGAGTATATCCTGACAGAGAAACCTCCGGGTTTTTTTTTTTTTAAATCTGTTAAAGGCTTCATCAGAAAGAACCGTAACTTACACATGCAGATGTGTTTTAGTATAGCGGATAGGATGGAAATGACGTTAGTGCGAAACTAACTATCAACTTTGCAAAAAAAAAAAAAAAAACAAACAAACAAACAAACAAACAAACATACTGAAAAACAAAACAAGCTGCTTAAGATAAAATCAAAAGACAACTGCAAAATCAACAGACTCCGTTGCAAAACGAATGATCGCCGATGCAAAAACCAACAGTCGTTAAACTGAATTCTCGCGCAAAAACCAACAGTCATGATCTGGATTACCGCTAGATGGCACGAGAGTCTTTAAATTATGGAAAGCCAAAGGGTTCAACCCTGTCAACTCGTGAAAAGTAGTAGAAATTTATTGCGTTAATTACGCTAATGCCCACAAGGTAGGATAAAGTTTTATAGTAAAAAATCATATATAGTCGAGTTTTCATATTTTATGATGCTCTGCGTATGATTTTTTAATAAAATGTTTATTCTAATTCTACATGTAATTAATGTACGAAATGTTTCGTGTACATGTTTTTTCATTTTTATATTTGGAATAGAATGAAAAATAAATTGATTACAGTCTTTATGGTGATTTAATTATTAAAGCGATTTTTTTCGAAATGTATGTTGTATATAACGTAATGAATTTTATAAATTAAACTCTTTGATAGTGTTAAGATATAAAATGTAATAAAGCGTCGAAATATGAAAAGAGATTGACTCGTACATGGATGATTTAAGATTTTAAACTTATAAAAATTTAATTACTTCCGTCCACACCAGGCTCCGGGGCCATAAAACTTAGACGAGCCCAGTTTTGATCCCAGTCTCACTTTTACAAAAGGAGCTATTAGTGGAAAAGTGAGACCGAGATCAAGAGTGAGCTCATCTAAGTTTTATGGCCCCGGGGCCTCAATCACCTGGGTAATTATTAACTTTGAATAATGTATGCACTTTTCCTTATACGCAGTGCTTTGCTTCTTTGCATGTTCTGCAGCATCAAAAGAAGAAGCCAATTTGTTTCTCCATTCATGGATTAAATCTTATCATCAGCCAATTCCTTCCGCAAACATGATTTTGTAACGACAAATTTGTGTGCCATTATTTACTGTTTTCCGTTTATGAGTCTGCACGGCTTGGTTGTTTAATCTTGTGTAAACCTGTGACATATACTACTGTCGCTGCCAATTGATCATGTTCGTGATAAAGAACAGCTCAATTATCAAAGAATTTCCGTTGGGTTCCGCGGCACTGGACCTTTGAGAAACGGTTTATTGACCAATGAAACAAGCGACATGCTTGCAAAAAATATTTCATGTCTCTTTCTAAAAACTAGTGTATTCATAAATCCATATAGTCTCGAACTACGCCATCTTTCATGTATATATGACAGCAAGATATTCTCGATACAGTATGCCTATGTTTATAGGTTTTTTTTCCCTTGCAAATGTCAAATGTTAGTTTATCGGCATATCTCAAGGGAATGAGGCACAAACATTTTGAGCCAATATGTTATTTGGGAAGATCTTGATAATAAACTCATTGTGACACCATGTGACATAATACATAAACCCTCTTCGATTCCATCAAGCGACAAACTTGCTATTGACATTTGCAAAAGTTTTCCTGGCATGCTTTGCAATAACTATTCAATTTGATTTGGGTGTTAGGTTTATTGGCGCTTTTCTTGTAAAGAAAGATCATTATCTGACCCTATGTCTATAGGACTGCAAGCAAAAAGGAAAACTCACTTCCCCGCCGTCTTTGAATGGAAATTAATTATACTTTTCATCTAGATGTCTGCAAATTGCTATATTTTTCTTGTGTCATTCATCATGATGGTGCTTGATGATCAGTTTGGTTTTTCAGGGCCAGACATGTGCGTCTTTTATTTAGGAAGTTCTCGTATCCTATTGCCAATCTCTTGCGAAGGAGACTACCGTAAATTTTTCATGGATAAAATTCCGACATACTGCCTTAATTTACTATTTTAGCAGTATGCATCAGGAACAAGGAAGTCATTATTCGATCATACATTAAATTAGCTATAAATTCTAACTATAACCAGCTAATGAAAAAAGCTATAGAAATTCAATTTATTGTAATTTACTTTTGAATAGGATCATTAAATACTCAGCAGGCATATAAAAAAATAATAAAAAAAAATATAGTGTAATTTGCTTTAGAATTTTTGAGGAAGCACTAGTGTAGTAGACCTTTTTTCTTCATGTCCCATGTACTTGTGCCAAGCATTATTGTATCTTTATAATTGCACATCACTGTAACTGAAATCGTAATTTAATTCCTGATTCCACATTCTCTGATTGATTGCTTATATATGTCAATGCATCTGGAGTTGCATATATTATTGTTGTCTATATTTGTTGCTCTTTATTATTTTGAAGGCACCTTTTTAATCTGTTTGGTAGGTCGTTCTTTGTTTACCATTGCTTTATAGATTCAGATACTCTTGTTTTATACAGTCTATATATTTTAATGCTGACCAAATGCATTCGGAGTTGAATAGTTGTCTGTATCTCGTTCCTATCAATTGCTTTGAAAATCAGGGTACCATTGTTTTATGTGTATTTTGTTACTTGATATATTATTTAGAGTTCGGAAACTTTTGTCGCCTATTTTGAGATCTGGAGTTCCAGATGCTTTTGTTCTCAGCTTGTTTTTTTATTGTTTATTATTGCATTTCAACAGCAGTTCAAAATACCTCTGTTTATGTCTTTATTTTTCTACCATGAGTGTACTAGCATTCTATATATACTAGTGCCCTAGCTGTCTGTTTGCTTTTCATTGTTTACCACTTCTTTTCAGTTTCTAGACACACATTTTGTATGTTCATATCTTTTTGATTATTACTGCAATTGAATTTTTAAGTGCATGTTTAAAAGTCTCATTGGATTTGCAGTTTCCGGTATCCTTGTTTCATGTTTGCAACTCATTGCGAAACCATTGTATTTTAACATCTAAACATATATCATAGTTAAGGAGGTTGGATCCTGCTATCAAAAGTATTGAGAATTTTTTATAAAGTATATTTTTAGAATCTACACACAAAGTTTATGGGAATTATTTCTTCTTGAAAGACTCATTAAAATTCGTGACAACAAAAGAGTTTCAAGCTCAGGAACGATTTGAGTATATAGATATTTTTGATTTTGATTTCTTTTGATCAGCAATATGGCCCCTGGGCCTCTCTTCTTTAACATAATAGGGTGCGTTATTTCTTTTCAGGAATTTTTCATCTATTTTACGTAAACTCAATTTTTTTGAGAGAAAGTATATCAATGTCATACCAGTTATGTAAATACAATGTACATATATTTGGGTAGGAAAGATAAAGAGTTGGGCTGAGGGACCCTCTACCTCTCTTCTCCTCGTTCACTATGAGGGTAGATCAATTCATCAGTTTTTCGAAAGAAATATAACAAAATAATGATGTCTTATACTAAAATCCAAGTCCAGAATTTTTGTTTTATGATTTTTTTTTCAAAGTGCGCTTAAGTGTCTCCATGGTTCAAAATGCTGATGTACACTCTTAACGCACTTAAAAAAATTTAAAGTACGTTGATTTTGTCCCAATTTTAACGCACTTCGAAATTTTTTTTCAAAGTGCGTAATTTTTTCAAAGTGCGTTGCCACAGTGGTTCTATGATTAAAGCACGTGATTAGAACGGGATATGAAATACAGTATAAATATATACAGTAGTTACGGTAGCCATTTTCACAACCTATATGTACAATTCATTATCTCAAGTCGGTTGGACCGACATCAAATTTAGAGATACAATAACTAGAGTTCGAGATATTTGAAGTAGACTTGAACAATTGTTGTCTTCCAGTTTCTATTCTTCACTCCAACAACTTGTTAAAACAACAAATGTAGCTTGTGAAATATCTTCGTTGTGAAATATCTGTGAGCTCTACAGAATCTTTTCAAGTACTAAAATGAAATATGAAGATAACGAACACTATTCAATCTCGAAAGTCCAATGAAACAAACAAATTTGGAGCAGAGCAAACATGGGCCTCAAAATTTAGAGGTGGGATCAGGTGCCATGGAGGAGAAGTTCAACCAAAATGATGATAATCTGAATCTTCACAGTACTAATTACTTAATAAAAGTTTACAAAAAGAAAAGCACAATTCAATAAAAATTATCTGTTTTTAGAGGATTTTATAATATAATTCGCCCTTTGCGGATACACGTCCATAGATATTTATAAATATAGTTTAATGTAGGAATATATTCATCAACTTTTCCGAACAAAGCATAAAAAGAACAAATTTGGGAAAAAATTGGCAAATTTGGCCAGTCGTTCAATTTGTTCTTCAACCAACCCCTGTAAAACCTGACGAAGTATTAGAATGGAAATGGAATGATAGATGTAGCTATTGCTCTTTTGTAATACCATCCTTCTACTTTAAATCGTTAAATTCTCTTTTAAGTGGTTACACATTTTACGATCAATAAAGTATCCCTGGTTCACTTCATCACTCACGAAATGTTTTATGAATGATAGAAATGATTTGACAAATGCTTTCTGTAATGCATTTTAACGAGTCCATTATTTGTTATGTCCCCTGAAGGGACAATGGGAGGAGAAATCTGCGATCAGGAAGGGAACCGCCATCAATCGGGTGGTCCCCACAGACGTAATGTGTTTTACATTAAGCCGGAGGAACGCTTTCGACGAATAATTAAAACATCGGAAATCTTTTATCTGTTGCCTATATAGCTTTTTCTAATGACGAGTCTCTAAAAAGTATTAGAGAGTTAATGGCGATTGTTTCATAATGTGGGTAAAATGTCATTTGAGTTGATTGCGCTAGACAAAAAAGACTACGTTAAATGTGTGGTTTCGGTACGAATTGATCAAAATCTATTTAAGATGGATGGTTTCATCTGTTTTTACACTTAAGTAATCAACCTGTGTCTTAGTAGATGAGAAGACTGAGCATGCGTCAATATGCCAATGACACTACCAATCAATAGCAACTATCATGATCCGGGTAAGTGGAACAAAATTTTTAAATCAACTTTTGACATTTTCGAGTCCTTACCTATGTCAGTATGTACTAGTATGTTAGCCAGAATGACTTCAACTTTTGAAACCTAAATGTTAATTAATACTTACAAGAACCTTGAAATACTTTGGCGTAGAAAACAAAACGTGTACTTTCATATGACCAAATGTATCTACCTCACAGATACTCTGATCATTTTAATTTTTTCAACAAGTTGCTACACTGCATCTAAAGCTAAACAGTACATGTACATAACAATATGACTATGGTCCGCACTCCCAAGGACTTGGGGGAGGGTAAAAACCTCCAAATTCAAAACTCCTTTCTTATTAGACATTGAAAAGAGAAACTATCTTCATGATGATAAGAAGCCTTTACTAAAATTTTGAAATTTACGTCTCCTGGGTCACGGGCTCAAGCCCTGTGATGGGGCTAGGTTAATTTTATATATATAGTGTAAAATGAAGATTTTAGTCTGAAAGGTGAGGATTAGTTGATCCAATTTGATGTTTTAAATGCATTATCTTTTTTTAAAGGGAAATTAGCAGACTATCTGTGAACGTAATGGGTTTCAGCTACTAGTTCTGTGCCAAAATTCTGAAATTTATCTCTCCTGGATCTAGAATGTAATTCTCAGGGTGGTGCTAGTTCAGTATATGTTGTAGGTGTGTTGTATCTTTAAAAAAAGTTTTCACTTCTGGGACCTAGCAGATTGTGATAGTAAGATATGATCTCCACCAAAATTGTGAACTCTGTGTCTAAGGGGTACGCCGTTTAACCCCCAGAATTATTTGACTGAATTAATTATATATACAAACTGCATTATATCTTTAAGTTTCCTTTCCCCTGGACTTTATACATTTTGATATTGAGCAAGAAGTATTCCACTAAAATCCACAATTTTATGCCTCTTATTTCAGAATTTTGACCTCAGAATAGGGCTAAATTGAACACAAATTTAAAGAAAACTCGTGATACTGAAGTGCTCATTAATCATTAGACCCTTTGGTATCTTGTTCTATTAAATGAATTTTTTAAACGTTAAAATGTTAAATTTTTTTTTTAAACGTAAACGTTAAAGTGGACCAGAAGACGTTTCGGATTCAAAGTCAAATACATGTGATTATGTTCAGCTAGACCATAGGTATAAAGACCTGATGACTGTTCTTAATGCATTGTTCTATTCTTTGTAAACGCGTTGAAGATTCTATTAGCTGGTTATAAATTGTATAGTTTTGCACAGACGCCCAGACTCTGCTGGAATATCTACCTCATCTACAATCCCAGCTTACCGTCCAGGAGGAAGATGTGGCGTTTCTTAGAAGATTCCTGAGACGTAAGGAAGTACAGGCTACCATGAAGGTAATATTATTGATATACAATATGTATGTATACATCTCTTAAAATTAAAATTTTATATTAAGAATCCTTTCATCAAAGATAGTTAAAGATGATATCAAGCTATCATAAAAGTTCTTAAAAGAAGTATCTCGTTATTTGATTATGTTATACACTGTATTTATATCAATGTTTTACATAACTTCAAACTCTACTAACTTGCCTTTAATTGTAATGCTCTTTAAAAGTAGCTAACGATTAAACCGAGCAAATATTTAAATTAATTTCCAATGTTTTCGGGTTTTATAGGTTGAGAATATGTTAATATTCTATATTCAGTTACTTTAAAAAACGTTTTCCATTTCAGTCCTATAAAAGTATATCAATTTTAAGTTATCGAAAACTTCGACCAGTGTCCATGGCAGCCGTCGCTCTTGCAGCAAATGTAAGTTTACATGCATCAGTCATTATTTTATTTTTTGGTTTAAAAAAATGCACTCATTTTCAGGCCTTATCATCAATTCAATACATAAAATCAACGTTTAATGGCATCGTGAATTGTTCATTTATTCCCTCAAAAAGAGCGGCATCGTTTGGTATCTGTTATTATCCATGAAACTCTGCAATTAACCATCATAGCGATGTTGATGGAAAATGACAGAAAAATATAAAAATACAATAATTCCTCTATTGCAAGGAAAACATTTAGACTTCTTTGTTCTATCATTTTATGTGTCCAATAAATCTCGGTTTATTGATGATATAAAAATGCGTTGAAATCTACTGCTACAATACATTGGAACCAATAATTTGTTGGTGATACAAAAGCGAGCTTTTACTTTTAAATAATAAGTAATTAATGCAACACAACCAAACTATGAATTTTAATTGATTGTGAAGGAAATATAAAGATAACGAATAGTGATCATGCTCTAAAGTTCATTCAAACAATACAGTCTGTGAGCAAAGCGAACACGGACCTCTGAAAACAGGGGTGGGATCAGGTGCAATGGATAAATAAGCATCTTTTGCCACCGGTCACACCCGCCGTGTGCTCCTTGTCATGAAATAAGATTTAAAAAGCACAGCTTATTCTTCTTGATCATTAGTTTTAAGTATTTCTCTTCTTATTTCGATATCTTTCTCTCCCTCTCTCTCTTTCACCAAGAGAGAGATAAATAATTTGTTTATTTGATAGTTTCCGTGGAGCGACAAGAGTATCCTTTTATTCTGCTACTTCTTGCACGCAGCAATGTCCTTCTTGAATTATTCCAACAATTTTATCGCCAATTTGTAAGAAAACTTTCCTGTCCATTGCGTGACAATGTCCTCCTTGGAGAGTGTTTCCAATTTTTTATTGACCTTTTAATGTCCGCTGTGGTATCCGATTTGAACTCTTTATGGCATTTTAAGAACTCTATACAGACCTCATGTCATTTGTTCAATAGTTTCTCGGTTAATTGAAGTTTTAATTACAGATTTTCTGTGATATTCGAAGATGCAACGATGATTCTCAGTTATCCGAAGAGCTGATGGAGATTTTGTCTAAACCAAGTGTACAGGTATGTCATTTACTCTAAAGAGTAATGTACTTAATACAGGTAATCAAATATACATGTTATTCTCCTCTACGAATGTCTTTGTCGTACCAGCTGAACGGTCAATATGAAGCATCAGTACATTTCATCTAGGAGTTTGGTATCAAGTCTGTAAAATATATAACAACCCCACAGTAAATCCCTGAATGCACCACAAAGGTTTCTAATTGCCAATTGAATGTATGCACTCTCCAAAACTTACATTTAGTACAATAAATGCATATTTAACCATCACTTAAATTTTCAAAGTTATTGTCAATTTACGCATTGGTTATGTTACAGGGTAATGCTACCTATTGCATATTCGACTATTAAAACATTGATTTAAATATGTAAAGAATCTAAAAACTGTGTCTGAAAATGGAGGAAGGAGTTGAAATTTAAACTTTACCAATATATTTTGTTATGTAACTCATGCTTTATCATGTTTACTGCCAAGGATTATTCTACTAGAGTCATTTTTACTTGTCGTTGTTATTAACTTTTTTATTAATCTTAATGGTTTATGAAATACTCTTCCTCATGCTAGTCATTTAAGCAATATTTAGGCTTGAAGTTCTTGGCTCTATTTTTTCTTGACTTCATAAGTTCATTTGTTTTTGCGACAACTTTGATTTTCAGATACACAATTTGAAATGCACATGTATTTAAGAAGTAAGAATCGTGTTTCATTTATTTTCTCACATCCTAATCAGGCTTTCATTTTGTGTGTGTGTGTGTGCGGGGGGGGGGGGGGGTTTCTAACTTGATGATTGAAAATCAAATGGTCGGAAGTCATTTAGACACAATGTAAATAAATGAAGCAAGTAGTTTTGAAAACGAGAATGAAGTAAGTATAATCCAGCACGCATGCGTCATTCGTGCAGACTTTGGACTTAATTCACGGGAAAGAAGTCCATTTAGTTTCGAGGAAGTGATACGGTTCGAAGTTCTCTTCTGATTTCATAGATGTGTGCGAAAATATTATACTGTAAACATATTACATTTAGCTGTGTATTCCGTTTAGTGCCTTTCAAGGAAAGCAGCTTCCGCTAAATCAAGTACATCGCTAAATGTGTTGTAAAACTATGACTATATATTGATAATTCATATAAAGCGCTAAATTAAATCTACGCTAACGTGATGTAAAATAATTAATTACCGTCATATACCGGTACCTTACAAGGAAAATAAAATACTTTTACAGTATATGTACATAATTATTTGAAATATGGAATTTATGAAATAACAAATAGAAAAATATTTGGCCTCTTTCTCAGTTGCATCGTTTCAGAACTTAATATCTATTATCATTTGAAGGTTTTTTCTTGTTTGGTTATTGGTTTATTTTCAGAAATTGATATTTTATGCGAACTATGTGAATCCAGAAATTCTTTATAAACTGTCTTCAAAGAGAAATTTTCATTTATATTCATCCTAATATATTCAGGATGTGTCCTTTCTAAGGTAACTCATAATCTCTGTTTTTAGTTCACATTTTTTTCAAATTCAGTGTATCCATAACTGTTAGTTTTGATGAAAGAAAAATAAAACATGGTGTTTTTGTGTAACGTTGATGAAAATAGAGATACTCAGTGAAACACATACAGTACTATTTTTTTGTAATTAAAAAAAGGTTGTTGCAATTTTGTTATAATTGACACAGAGACACTAGAATAAATGCATAAAATACAACATGTGAAATATACTGAAAAACTGTAACTATACCTTCTACGCCAAAAACTCCTTTGTATTGCTTCTGTGTTGTATGATTATAATTATGCAGTAATATTTTAAAGTAACAATTCATGGAAACAAAAAATGAAAAGAAAAAAAATAAAAAAGATTTTTCTCTTTGCAATAGAGAACAAAAAAGCGGTTCTTTAAAGTTCTGTCAGCAAAGATGGCAACAGACATGACATCGGTTTATTTTACTAAAATCCTTTTCGTCCTTATACTGTACCAAACCGAATAATGATGAAGGTCGCTTTATCACGGAATTTTCCATTGTAATCGGTCTTAATTATTCCTCTTTTAAGATTATCACGTACTCTCGTGAAAATTTTAGTTCAAACTCGTGTGGAGTATAAATTCTAGAAGCGAACGAAGTGAACTCCTGGAATTTCTTCTAATCAAATCAGCTATCATTTGTCAAAATCAATACAGGCTTAAAAGTCTTGCAAATCTATTGCATTACTAAGGTATAAATAGTTAGGTTTTATACACGTTGCATAACAATGAATTGAATAGCCTTTCAGATTTATTTGTCATTTCAGAGAGGAAATACTTACTGAACAAAGTTAATGGAAGTAATACGGTAAAAAAATGTACTTGGCTTCATTAAGGGGAAAATTGTTACATTTTTTCTGTTCAAAGATTAATGGTTAGAGAAACGTTTGACACAAATGAATCAATGTTTAATACACCTAATGCACCTTTGTAATGGTCTCTGCATTATTTTTTTGATTGGGTTTTTATTATTAAGTTACGCAGAAGTCTCGCCTTGGCATTCTACGATTTGGTGTAAAGCAGTCCCATAACCTGAGTCGGCATTTTTACTGCAAGAGAAATTCAATTATAGTAGAAACTGTAACAGAAAGTTACGAACCGCTAACATGCACAGACTGTAGTTAGTTGATGCTACTTTTATAATATCTCAATCTTAAACCTTTTCGATATGTTTTAGAAAATTGAAAAGATTCTCCAATTCATAGGAATTTAACATGTCATTACAATAATGAAATACTTGTAATAAAATAAATAATTAAGTAAATAAAAATTGTATTGTTTTACAAAATGGATATGGATTTCAGTTTTTCAAGTATTCATAAAATTCTCTAAACAGGGACAACATAAAATATAATCATATATAATCAACTGACGAAAATTTTGAATGTACTACAGTGTATATGATAGATTTAAAGAAAGTAATGAGCACCTATGAATGATGCAAGGAAGTAATGAGCACATATGAATGATCTATAAGAAATGTTTACTTTTTTCACACAGTATCCATTGTAATCAGAGATGAAGCAACATTTCTTGGCATTTGATCTGTTTTAGGGAATATTTTTATACTTTGCATCTGATCAACATGTGAAGCTGAATTATCGTTTTTCTACGCATATGATGCTGAAAGTTATTTGAAGACTCAACAGTCCTCTACTAACGACTTATGAATGTTTCTAATTAATGATTGATCATAAAATCTAATATCAGCGTCTTTTCAGGCTCTTCTATATACCCATGATGTAGTTGCAAAACGTGATTATGAAACCGGAAGTTGCAACACTAAACAGGAAAGACACGCCGAAGACAATAACATCAAAGTTGTTCAACTGGTGAAAAAGAATGAGCCCTTGGTGAGCGTTTGTCAGTGTTCAGAATATATACGTATAAAGACTGATTTCTTGTTTATCTGTTATTAATATATAGGAAGCCAGATGACAGTGCGTCTAATGTGAAGACGTTGTCTTACAGGGAGTAACAATACAACAGAACGATGACACAGGAATCATAGAAATTGCCCGGATATTGCATGGTGGCGCGGCACATAGAAGTGGTATTGTTTTTTTTTTTCTATTACTTTGAAAGAAGTAAACCTAACAATCAAACTTAATATTCCGTGCATTGCACTCCACGGTCTCAATAAGAGAGGAAATGCAATTAAAAAATCGTTTCAGTAGACGTGTGTCTTCTAGTAATAGCAAGTACAGTAACCTCGGTTTTCAGACTATTCAGAAAATTTGTTAATAATAAATACATTTTTAAAAGGTGTATGTTTAACGCTCTTTTTGCATTACTTGTAGGTCTCATTCATGTTGGAGATGAGATTCACGAAATTAATGGTGTCAAGTTCACAGGTCGCAATCCTGATGACATGGCCAACTTATTGGTAATTATTTGAAATTGGTCTAATTATTTGAAATTGGTCTTTCATAAATTTATTAAATGATCCTTTTTCAAAAATTTCTGATGTAATTTTCTTTGAATGTAAAAGGTAAAGATAACGAACAGGGATCAATCAATAAATCCAGTAAACAAAACCAATCGTGAACAGGACAAAAACACGGAGCCCTGGAAACACCAGAGGTTGAATCAGGTGCCTAGGAGGAGTAAGCATCCCCTGTTGAAAGGTCACACCCGCTGTGAGCCCTATGTATTGATCAGGTAGACGGAGTAATCCATAGTCAAAATAGTATAAAAGCAAAGTCCTGACAAATGGTATGAAACATGTCAGACAAAAAAGGGCCCAACGATAGGTTGTATTTAAAAACAAGGTCATTATAACGACCGCAGAATTTGCGAAAAGCTGACTTGAAATGGGATTGTTGAAATCCTTTTACCATCAACGTATTTATCAGTATCTTTCCTCGGTATAAAATTGATCTTATTCAGAGCATGTTTTTGTGTATCAAATTAGATGGGAGACATAAACACCATACGCAGGTGATAGTGGAACATTTAACTACATAATAAGGGAAGTTGACGATGGAAAGGCTGAAACCATCTCGCTTGTCATGCACTTAAGTTATTAGCTGGCCATTATCAAAATATGAAACAGATGTTGCAGACTCTGTAGTGTTTTCTATTTAGAGTTCACTGGGAGATATTGAGACGACATATGAATTAAAATAACTATTGTTAAATGATAAAACGTGATCGATATATCTAATTATACCATCGTCTTCAACTTCCCTCAACATAATTTATTTTCTCCATCCATGAGTCTACTCTGCTCTGTTTTTTGCAAATATGACAACAAATTATTTGTCGTAAATGGGCATTTATTAGAATGTCAAACAAATTAACCAAATATGTACAAAAATTACACATGCCCATATTTGAATATATCCCTTATAAGGATATTAATATACATAACGAAAAAATACAAATATGACTAGAGGAATTGGCAAAAAAGATGGGAGATATATCTAAATGTTGAGTTGAAGTCCACAGCAAGATTTTCTTCTTCTCGTGAAGAAGTATTTGAATGAAATATCGTGCACAATTAGTGCCCATGGGAATTCCAACAGAGTGTTGAAAGACCTGATCTCCAAAAACTTCATCTTTTTAATATCAACTTCAGAGTACTTGTATGTAGAATCAGAATGATTTTTTAAAAAAGTAATTTTGTAGAAGACCAATTACAAGATATGAAAATTTATGACTTCCATTTTTATAGAGGAAGTAGTCGTCTATGATGTCAAAAAGCCTACTCTTTAATTTATCGTGAGGAATGATTGTATAAAGCGTAGAAAAGCTATTGATGTTTGAGATATTTTAAATTTTCGAAAAAGTTCTTTGAAGTTTTTTTAGAATTCACATTTGATTGACACCACTTGTTGAATATGTTGTAGCACAATTTGATACGTCTGAAGTTTCTCCTTCACAGCGGGTAATATTTGGGCGAGGACTAAGCATAGGGGGCTTGGTTGATCATTTACTAGTCCCTTCAATATATCTTTGATTGTAAGGATTTAAATGAAGCTCTGGAATCCAGTATAGGTACGGTACATCAAAATTACTCCCATTGACTGGAATGTTAGAAGAATTTAAAACTGAAAATGATTTTGAAGAATTTCATCTTTTAAAAGGGAATTGTGAGTATAGGTTGGATTACCAGATGTGGAATTAAAACAAGTTTTTTTTCTAAAATGCAGTTGTAATAATGAGCCCTACAAAGAAAGATTCTATTGTCAAAAACTTTGTCAGCTGGAACCAAAACATATTTTTCATTTAATCTTTTTAATTCTTTTATCACTTCCGGTCTACTGAAAACGGAAGGATAGATAGTTTGCGTTTTATCTTTTAATTTTCTAATGCAATTCTTTAATATATTTTCAAAACACTTAATCCATTCTGAAGGAGTGGCAAGGTCTTCCCCTTCCTGTTTAGCCCATCGTCCAGTATATTCCTAGACATAATCCATGAAAGAAATGAAGTCCTGCCGCCGTAATTGGGAAGATCTGGGCTCCCTGGATATGAGAGCTTTTAAACTGATAGCTTTTGTGTCGTCATTGAGAACTAAGCTAGCATCACCAGTAGCGATGTGTCCAGCTAGACTATAATTGAAAGAAGGGGAAGCACAAGAACACTTACGAAGGATTTTGTTTTAGATGGACAATATCTACGCACTGTAGAATTTGTTTATAATTGGAAAGTTTGGGAATATCTGTAGGAAATACAGTGTAGACTTCAACTTAAAATACAAAACTGAACTCTATATGAGTAAAAATGTTGCTTATGTTTATGGCGTCTATACCATTGTTAGCAAATTGAAGCTCAAGGAATCGACGGCTTAACGGATTTACTAGTATTATCTCCCGTACCACGTAGCGGCTTAAAGGGCTTGTGTTGGGCAACATCCATAATCACAAACACTAGTCTGTATTCTGGTGTCGAAGAATTCTGGTGTAGACTTGCTTTAGCTTCTTAGAAGTTTGTTTCAAGGGCTCAGATTAAGGTTTAATGTGAATGTATATAGACTAACTAGTAACTGTTAATTGACGAAATGTAATAGTGAATCAAATGAAACATCGTATATATTTGGCGTATTGTGTGAATGAAATGTGTGGAGATAACGAACAGTATTCGAGCTCAAAAGTCCTTTAAATATTACAAAATAGGAGCAGAGCAAACACGGACCTCTAAGACATCAGACGTGGGATCAGGTGCCATGGAGGAGTGAGCATCCCCTGCAGACCGGTCACACCCGCCGTGTGCTCCTTGTCATGATTGGGAAATAACGGGAAAAAAATCCGTCGACAAATCAGTGTGTAAATAATGGTCTAACAATTAGTATGAAAAAAGTCAGTCAGCATTTGACTTAATGAAAGATTGATTTTGCTGACAAGGTCATTGTATCGACCATAGAACTTACGAAATGATGACTTTAAACGAGACTGCAGATATTCTTGTTTCATCAACTTGTTTGTCATGAACGATGTCCATGACTACACGTTCGTCTTGGTGTACTGTTAAAATGTCTGAACACATTCAAATTGGCACACTGCGCAGGCTTAAAAGATTTCCTACATTATTGATATGGTCATTGCAACCATATGGAAATGCAGTGCCTAATTTCTTATTTCAGTCATCTTCTCGTTTTCTACGGAATGGAGTACTTAAAGTACGGATATTTGTGGAATGGTATATTTTTTCCAAAATTCTGACCCTCAAAGAAAGAATAGAAATGATGAAAATGTTGTTAAGCAGACATGCATAAATGTTCCTTAAAATGATACATTTGTGTTAATACATGTAAACACCGAAGGAACCAGGCATGTCAAATTGTCCAGTTGATGTGTAATTTATTTCACTTGGGATTCCTCATTAGTAAAACAAATCACTGCTTTACAGGCACGTATAACGGGACCAGTAACTCTCAAATTGGTACAACGACAGCAAGAACCACCCTCAAAACGGGCAAGTAATGTAAGAAAAGTTTACACAGCAGCTTTTATTTTGTTTCAAGAAACAACAATGGAAAGGCATTGTGCTCAGTTTTCATGTATTTTACTTTGTAGATAAGGGTTAAAGCCTTGTTTTCCTACGACCGACATGAAGATACGTTGATACCTTGCCAGAATGCAGGGCTGTCATTCAAGAGGGGAGATATTCTGCACATCGTCTCTCAAGAGGACCCCTTGTGGTGGCAAGCGAGACCGGAAAAGGAAACAGAGGGAGTGACGGGTATTATACCCTCGCAGCTTTTACAGGAAAGGTAAAGTCCTTCAGTGATAAAGTTTGATTAACCACTATTTGCATGTTCAGTTTTCTGTCACGTATATGGGTAGAGAAAAACAATTTGAAAAATAAAATTGTTTATGGAAAAAACATGTCAAAATAGTAATATATATTAACTGCGTTGTTATATAAATTTGACAGAGACTTTTCTTGTACATGTAGACAACAACTCCATGTCACACTAATCAGAATATAATGACTAATTCAATTGCAGCTAAATCGCATATAATATGATTTGTAATTTTAAATACAAGTATGAATAGTAATAAATAAAAAAATAAATAAACAACAGTTATTTATATGACTAAAATGAGCCTTGTTTGAAACGCAGAAAAGTTGTTCAGATATCAGAAAGCAGCCTAGTGTGTATGTATATGTTGGTTCAAGAAATGTTCTGGTAGATGTCTCTCCTTTCAGAAGAGAGATCCTGCAAGAACTCATGACAAAGAAAGAAGTTAAAGGCAGAAGAGCACGTAGGTACATATAATTTCTATTAATTAATGTCTTTAAATGATATGGCATAAAACATTACCTTATGAGATATGGGTACATTTTATTACATTGCATTCTGCTACAGGGTCTGTTAGTCCTTGCAAAGTCAGTCCTCGAATCTCAAGGTCAAAACGGGTGAAAAAGGTCATGTATCAAGCTGTCCAGAATGGAGGTAGGTGAAAATTAATTTTGACTCTTGTCAGACAAAATTGTTGACATTCTTAGCCTTTTCAGTATGTCTGTTTGTGAGCGGGATACATAATTTTCCCATGTCGGCCATTTTCTAGAGTTGTGCAGACTTCTAGCTCTTCAATGTTTATTCATTATTCAGCTGGATGTGGTCGTGTAATGATGAATAACAGTAATTTAGTTCCTTTTCCTGTGACCTAATTTTAACAGAATCATGGCCACTGAATTTTGGGAAGTCAAGAAAACTGTTTTGGACGATTTCTTTTTGCTTCATATATGAATGCGGATAAGCTGAATTTTCATACCCAGAAAGCGTTTTTGTATTTCTTGAATTCTCCCCACCAAAAAATGTCCTTTGTAAGCTATTTTTTTCGGTGCGTTTACACATTTTATTTTAATTAATCTTGGTTTTGTGTGTAATTTTATAAGAAATTGTTACAGGTCGACCTTACGTCACAGTCCGTTTGGCTAAATGTTTACTGTTTTCAACCCAAAATTTTAATTTCTTTGCTATAACTTTGCTGAGGACAGGGCGTTCTTGTTGATCAACACAAATGTTTTAAATAAAAGACTTTTTCCAGAATTTGAAATGGGTGACATCCCTACGTATGAAGAAGTGGAGCTGATGAAACCTGATCCCGACCATAGCAGACCCCTTATACTAGCAGGTAATCCCAGATTTTCATCAGATGACAATTAGAGAAAATATTTGATTGAAAATTATCGAAAATGTTAAAGACCAGAATGTTGCTCTGTGAATCAACAGTTTAAAATGCATGTACATGCACAATTGCTCATATTGCAGGTTAGAGTTACCGAAAATGTAAACCTGTTCATCAATGTGAATCTCTATTGATTTCAAAAACATTAGACTACTTATTTATTGATATCCCAATGATGTGCCTTCAGATCAATTTTATTTTCCTATTTACGAAAGACCTTTCCATTAATAAAGCACCGATTTAGAGTTGTCACATCTGACCAGTTTTGATCACTGATGAACAAAATAATTCTAAATCTTTTTGCCATGGAATAGAGGCATCAACATCAATAAACCAAGCACCAATTGAATTTGGTCACTGAAAACGATAGAGACACATTAAGATGTCAAAGACAATCTCTTTAGCTAGACAACTGGAGAAAGGTGAATGACTTTATGGAGATTTTTCTCTTTCATTTAGGTGTATCTAACGTGGGCAGAAATGAGTTGAAACAGCGCCTAATGGGGAGTGATCCATCTCATTTTGTTGACGTTGTTCCATGTACGTATTTTTTTCTAACTACAGCGAATCACCCTGTTTATATCAATCCTGATCACCCTCTTCAATAAATACTGTCTATTTCTTTTGTAATCGGCCGATCCTTGCTGTCTGGTTATTTTGAGATATCCATTTGACAGAATCATATAATTAATTAAAAGTCATCTTATTGCATTGACCATTATAAATGTCTAAACAAACATAACTATTAAGAAATTCCTAAATGTTGAATAAACCGGTATATTTACTTATGGAATGTCATATTAATATAATCTTCTGTAGGCGGGTCCACCTCAAAATTGTTTTTTTCTTGGGTTCACATTTTGTGATACATATACAAGCATTGGGTATCTTTCCGCCTTCGATAGCGTGTGCATAAATGCAGCAACATAAAAAAATCACAAAATTTGGTTTATAGTTGTATTTCATAATAAAAAAGGAGTTGAAATGAGTACTATGTATAGTCTTCAGCAAATTTATCCTGATTTTAGTATCTGTTATGGGATCAAGTTTTCGAATCCATCACAATTATTGGAAACGTCTAGATACTTATCACTCGTCAATTACCTATAGAGGGATTTGTACATAAACTTCCGAAAACCAATTGTTTCATGATTTAAACGAATTTATTCTTGTATAGAAATTGGTACGATGTGGATGAGTAACCACTCATAGTCCATGGTCTGCAAAAACCTATGTCAGTCAAATCATAGGGACCGTCCAAATTCAAATATACATGTAATAAACGTACAGTTACTCCAACCAACCAAGATAAAGAGATTTGACTAAACCTATTCTTTAAGTATTTGAAATGAGACATAACACACAACTCATACGCATAATTAAAATATTTACACAAATGAATTAAACCCAGGCTCAATTTAATTTCGTGAACTAATATTGAGAACAATGTATTCTCCTCCAAATGAGAAAATAGTATCAAAATGGCGGCAAAATGAGAATTTCAAATACTTTAATCTATACAATATGTATCCTATTCGTTTACTATACTTAAGGACTGGGTAGAGATCAAAAATGTTTTTAACGTGCAATGAAAAATGTGTGTACAACACAGCACTCGATATTTCTTGGTGCAATATGGACATTTAGTAATGGCCTAGGATTTGAATTGGAGCTTTTGTGTTTGAAATCGGACATGCTGTCCAAACTTTTGAATTGGGCAGTCTTAACTTTATTTGGAGAAAAGTTGATTTAAAGACAGGCATGTTTATTTTAAAATGCAAGTATTAATTTAAAGTTACAAGTGTGTATTAATTCCATATTTATCCCCTTCCGTGTGATTACTTACAAACACAAAGTAATATGTGACTCTTGTTTGTTTTTGCATAATTCGGATTATTTCATTGTAATATACTTTTGCGTGTAGATACCTCCAGACCACCAAAGTCCTACGAAGTGCAGGGACGTGAATACCACTTTGTAACGAGACGTGAAATGGAAAGCGCGATATTAGCGAGAAGGTAACTATAAATAAAAATTCTCCGGATATTAAAAGAGAAGAAGTGTGTTATCCTATGATGTATCTTTCAAATAAGTATAAATACAGTTCTATTTCAATTTTTTTAATAGAAAGAATCAATGAAAAATATTTAAGATAGAATGATACGAAAATAATGAATACATTCTTCTCTTTTTAGATTTGTAGAGCACGGGGAATATAAGGGTCATTTATATGGTACCCGGAGAGACTCCATATTGTCTATAGTAAAATCTGGACGGGTACCCATCTTAACACCCAGTGCCAAAGTAAGTTCAGTTCTGCTGATTTATGAAATTCATTGTCTATCTTCGCAGTAAGCGTATAAAAAGTAACGCAATGAACTTTTTGCGTCATTTGTGGACCCCGAAACTTAAGTGTCTGAAAATGATAGTTATTTATCATTTAAAAGTTAAAAGAAGGAGAATCAACAAAACTGATAATAATTATAAAGTAAGCTCATCAAAAGACAAAGTGGATTATTTTAAATGAAATATATAACCGTTTTAATTTGTAATACATTTATACATTTATGCTAAAAATTATTTTTTTTCCTTACTCTATATATCCATCACTGGATACTTCTGATGATTTAGGTCTGATAAAAAAAGAAAAATTAAATATAACTTGACCTCCAAATACCATTTTTGAACTCATATCCAATTTAATTATTTTTGTCTTAACATGAGATTAAATCGCCAAGTCAACTAATTTTCTTAATAATTTTTGACTATGTCTTAATTTGGGTATCTTTCGTATCACAAACCAACCACAAAAGATTATTTCATGTCTGCACTAACTTCCTGAATCATCAATACTAACCTACGGTGTACTTGTTTGAAACACATGAAGTATTCCGTCGAGTACCTATTTCATTTACGTTGATTTAGTTTTAAAAAAACCATGCATTTACATCAAAAGGACTCACAGTAAACCAGAAAATACTATATCTCTTCGACAGAATTTTTAATAGCTAGACAGCGCAGGCAAATATCTAGACTTAAGATAGTACCCTCTTCAAAAAAAGCCACCATCATAATTTCCTTACGTTTCATTTCTACAAGTATTTGCTGACTTCTTTATTGTGAGGTTTAAAAGATTTATTTTTCAGGCCTTAAGATACTTGAGAATATCTGAAATCAAACCTTTCATCATCTACATCAAACCACCTTCCATTAACTCTTTTCGAGAGACACGGCTAAAATACAACGCCATTTTTACTGGTGAAGATGGAAGCGCCATTCCTTGTTCTGTGAGTTAGCTCCCTGTTTGCTTGCCTCTTCAAGCAGTTTAGATTAGACTCTTCTAGATTCCATGTATCAATCGTATAATTTCCAATTTTTCATTTTATTTTTACGAAGGAGGACATCATATTATCAGTTGTTGCCAAAAGTGCCAAACTAGAAGAAATATACGGGCATCTGTTTGACTTTGTTATTGTAAATGACGACATATCACGAGCAGCTCAGGAACTTATAAAAGTAGCAGAAAATGTAAAGAGGGATTTACAATGGGTACCGGCGGCTTGGGTGGAGTAGTTAATTTATTTTAAAAAACTCGTTGTTTGAGCAATATACTGTATGAGATTTATGGATGTAGCAGAAATTGATAATAAATAGAAATTTTCTGTCATATTCTGGTTATTCGTAAAGCTTGTGACAAACTATTGAAAAACATGGTTGTCATCCCTCATGTAATTAGCAATCATACTACGAAAGATTCATATTTATAAAAAAAAAGTTTTATTTATGTTACATGCATGATTTAATATTATGAACAGAATGTGTCTGTGTACGACCATATGTAACGAGGACAAATCTGACCAAAGAGATGCCCTGACAGGATAAATAGCTCCAGAAGAAAACGACCAAAAGCAATGCACGTGCAAAATTTTTATGCAAGAACTCAATAATCATAAATTCGTGTATAGCAAATTAAATTCCATTGCTCATAAAGAACTACCTTAACTGTTCTGACAACCTAGAACAGCTCCTGACAACCCCGACAATAAGTTCTCGAGCTCTACAATGTAGGTAATAGAAAAGTTTAAACATAGGAAAGAAACTGTGTTGTTCGTTCGTGATATCAGTAGTAGAAGAGTCTTAAATGCATCGGTAAAAGCTAGTCTCAGTGAAAAAGCGGAATGGTATTGATATCTGAATTGACATGTCAACAGGAAATTGTGAGGGTCATGTACTTGAACCACATCATAAATTTCAATTGTGAATTAAAAAAAATAAGAAGAAAATCCAAGAAATGAGGAGGCGGCTTAAAGGGCATGTACTTTTAGTGGATTAAAAATGATTGCACGTTTGTATATAAAAATCGTTAATGTATTTAGATTACCTTCTTAGTTTATTAATTCCATATGTGACGAATAAATGATGTGAAATAGGGGTCTGAAAAAACAATAATGAAAAAAAATCTAATGTAACTTAAACATTAAGTTCTATTTATTTATTTATCTTGATTAGATAGGATGGCTCCTCTCTCTAAAGTTCCTAAAAATTTATTCAAATTACCTATTTTATGCTATTTTTAGATTTATCGGGTATTTTTCGTAAGGAAACTGAAATCCCGGTCTTCACATTCAGACTTTGGAGGCATGTCTTTAATAAACTTTTTAAAACCATCCCTATTCTCCAATATGTCATAGTCAAAAATATACATTATGAAGGTTTGACAATTCTCAGTTAGTGACTCAACAAAATTTGTATAAGAAATTCAAAATCCCCAGTGGCCTTGACCTTTAAGATATAACCTTGAGTCGTGGTTCTAACTTAACTTTAAAGTCGTTAAGACTACCTAATTTAAACAAAATTCATCAAAATGGAGGGCCCCACACTTATGGCTATTGATGATTTTAATATCTCATAGCCCACTGGCTGACTTTTGAGATCTGAATGTCAGTCAAGATCATTGCACACTTTCGGGTTACTAGCAACAACAGAACTAACGTTTGCACCGATGCAGAAAAGTGACAGTGATTGTTACCAAATGTCGAAGACTATTTGTCTTATATGCCTGATAAAATTTTCTGGTAAAAGATCTATTACGTACGTTACCATGAAAACAAAGTATTTAAAACTATTAATTTTGGTCATTGATTTTGATGAGTTATACATTCAAATATATACCTCCAGATACCAAAGTCCTACAAAGTACAAGGTAGATAATTTCACATTGTGATAAGACAAGAAATGGAAAGCGCGATATTAGCAAGAAAGTAGATCTTGTTAAAAAGGTGTTAAGCAATATATCAGCATTCAAATCAAAATGCTAACAGATACTGCATATTTCACATGGTACAAAAAGGTTTTATTTTTAATATTCAAGCTAGAATGACAGGAAAATACAGACTGAGTATATTCTCGCTTTAGGTTTTTGAGCACGAAACATATAAAGGCCATTTACACGGTGCCCTGAGAGGCTATATTACGAAGGGTACCTATCTTAACACTTAGTGCTAAAGTGGAACTGATGATTAACTAGTGTTTTTAAAATGAAATCCGTGTTCCATCTATGCAGGAATTGCATTTAATGAATTTGGCTGTCATTGGTGAACCCAGAAGCTAAAAGGAAGGAAAAAAACCCAGTCAAATGAGATCAAAACGCTGAAAAAAGTATGATATCTATCTTTGAAAAGTGAAAAGAAGGGGGAATTACAAAAACTGGAAATGAAGTAAACATGTTATCAAAAGAACAACCTGGATCAGTTCCTTAAAATAACGTAAAACCTTTTTTGCACATAATATGTTACCCTTATGCTACAAATCCAACCCTACATAACTACGACGATTTAAATCTGATGAAAATGGCAGGTTCGTATATAGTCCTTAAAAATCCAGACTGATCTTTAAGTCTCTTTTCCGTCTTTATAAAAAAATATTTTTATCTTAACATGAAAGTTAACGACTTTTCTGCTTAACGATTAGCGACTATCTGCGTCGCAAACCAATCGTAAAAGACCGCTATCATTTCATGTCCCCTCTAACTTCCTGTTTCATCAATATATCTATTAATGTGAAACAACTTAGGTATTCCATTTACGTTGATTTAGATAAAAAAAATCTCTCATGCATTTACATCTAAATGACTCACAGAATACCAGAAAATGCTATTTCTTCAACGGTCGACATTAAATGTTCAAGATCCATGATTTTTGATAGACAGACGTCTTTTCATATGGCAAATAAAGATTTTGAATGCCAATTTCTAGTTACAAAACAGTTCGGATTTTTTTTTTAAAAAGTCATCGTTCTTTTTGCTTTACATCTTAATTTCTAACAGCTGTTTCCGATGAAAGATTTATTTTCAGGATTTACGACACTTGAGAATACTATAGTAACTGAAGTCAAACCTTTCATCACTTTGATAAAAAACACCTTCCATTAACTCTTTTCGAGAAACATGGCACATTGAAATTGAAAACTCTGTTACATCAACTTATTTTTCAGCAGCCTGACTATGTTTAAAAATTGACCGTACTCATAACATGCTCTAGAGTATCGAATCTCTTGGGAGACATAAAGACCGGATGCAGGTGATTGTGGAAGATTAATTACTACATGATAGAGAAAGATGACGATCGAAAGGCTGAAGTCATTCTGTTTTTCAAAGAGTTAATTTTTTAGTTAGCCATTTACGTCTATAATCAGTAAAATATCCAAGTATGAAGACAATGTTTCAGACTGTGATGTCTTTTATTTCGAGTTCACTGCGATATAGCGAGTGGACATATGACTGAAAATAACTATTACATGTTAATTGTTAAATTAACATCGATATATCTAAATGTTGAATTGAAAGCCACTGAGTTTTCTTCTCATGTAGAAGTTTCTGAATTAATCAAGCTTCATAAGAAAATAAAAACAGGTCGGCTAATAAAGAGAACAGTTAGTAACCGTTAGAATTTCAACAATCAATATTGTTGGAAGGCCCCCTTTCCAAAGACTACCAAGATACTGTCACCGAAGAACCCCAGCATCTTTTGAATATAAACTTCAGAATACTAGAACTTGTGTGTTGAACCAGATTGATTTCACATAGCACAAGTTATCTCTTCTCAACCGCCTCCTTTTTCGGATTTTTTAAAAAAAAATACATAGATGAAATACTAGTAAATGTTCAAGGCAGCCAGTATCCTTACCCTTCACCAAAATATTAACTATTGGGATGGAGAAACTTCAGACGTACTATGCTACAACGTATTCGAGAAAGTTATAAATCAAATGTAGATTCTATGAATTCTGAAAACTCGAAGAACTTTGAGAAAATTTAAAATCACAGAATTTTTTCAGAAGTTAGTAACATCAAAATTATAACTTCAGCTCTTTATACAATCATTCCTTGCGCCATCTTAAAGAGCCTAAAGAGCTTTTTGACATCATAGACAACTGCTTCCTCGATTTAAAAAAAAGCGAACTCGAAAATCTTTATATCTTGTGATTGGTCATTTAAAAATAACTATGTTGTGGATTAAAAGATAATGAGGCACTCGTAGCTCAACAATTGTGACTATATTTATGGTACCTATTAATTTCATATATCTTTGAATCACGAATAAACATTAATGTAAAATAGGAGTCTTAAAATACACAAATGAGAAGAACGTTATTTAATATGAAAATTATGTATGGAATTCCATTTATTTACTTATGATCAATAAAAATCATTAACAAATAAAAATAAAAAAATCTACATAATAAAGCTATTCCTTAAAGTGTCTGTGATTTTTATAAAATACACAGGAATACACAAGGCCAACTTCAGTGTACATATATTACTAAGGAAACGCTTCTTTCTCAAGTGGGAACAACAGGATGTTGAAGTAACCAAGGTCTTCGAAATAAAATACATACTAATCAAACTTTAGCGATAATAAATGGACAATACTCAGTAATAGTCTTATGGGAGCATTATGCGCACAGAATGTATCAGTCTGAAAGATAATTCTATGATTACTGTTGAAGTCTATATATTCATAACATTAAATTAGAAATAAAATATTGAAAGAATTGCAAGAAAGAGGCATTGCCACACGTATTGTATCCTGGCCATTTTGTTAACATAAATCTCACCTTCTGATTGTTGAACGGTCGGAGTTGTTCCCCACAGGTCCCACCGTAATTGAGACTGAAATAGATGTACGTGTGTTCTTATATTATTGTACATGTCACCTTCAAGCCAATACAAATATAATAATAAAATCTACTATGCGTAAAATTTAAGTTTTAAAAAAGTTACTTCATATAAAAACCATAAAATATAATACGTAAAGGGGAAAATGTGTAGTTAATTATACCAACTCATTTTTCCTTGAATTTGTTTGTGTAAGCCAGTTGAAGTGTATTTCTTTTAAAAGTCATAGTGGAACGAAAATTTTACAATTATTTCAAGATACAAAATAACATAGGTCAGATACTGCTGAAAGGCAACACTAGTAATTGACCTCATTTTGACAATTCTCAAATGGACTTTTACGATGAATCCACCTGCAACATAAAAAAAAATCTGATTCAGTTGAATCGCTCTCATGAATATGGATCTGTTAATGTGTTTTATAATTACTCAACAATTTCTTCGTTAATGAATAAAACGCAAATTGCAACTGTCAGACTTCATCAATATTATATGTCCCAGTCATGTATACATGTACAAGATCCAGGGGAAATTATCAGCCACAGGGAGTCTCTGTCAGACATTTTTTTCAAAATAAAATAAAATCATTTCATATTTATTACATAGCAACATCAAAAAATACAGAACCAGATTAAAGACATTTACTATATTTCGTTGAGAAATTCTCTTCTCAAAAATTAAATTCACGCATCGTAGATGAAAAAAAGAGGTAAATGTAAATTCAAACTTCCAGTGTTTCTGTCAAAAAAAAAATCATGACTGTAATGGGCCTCAAAACACATGAGAGCATATCGATTAACAAATTTTTATTCACAAGAAAATACCAAATGTATTTCTATTCAAGGATCTCGTAAGATTAAAAAAATCCTCTTGTTCTTCGCTTAACTGGGCCATACGTCGTGCCACGTGCTGTGCACCAGGACAATGGCAGGCCATGGCCCGTGGAGACGGTATACAAGCGATCAAGGACCTCCAATGGAAGATGTTGTATAAATTTATTTTACGGAAAATAGTGTAAAGACAGGGGAAAATTTAAAAAAGATTGACACAGAATGATGGATGTCCGATTCTATAATAAAGAAATAATGAGATAAAACAAGATTTGCTGTGTTTTACTAGAAATATTTTAATAAAATTATATATTAAAAGTTAAGTATCCTTTTTCCCTTAAGGTATGATGTTTTAATCTTCAATTTTCTAATTCTCGTTATGCGGTTAAAGAAGGCATAAAACATTTGTGAACCAAATATTTTGCTTTGTAGAATACAAGGTACCATTCCATAATATCATTTAAACTAGAATTACCTTTACATCTAAAATATCGAAATTTTCATATAGTCAAACTTTTGATAATATTGAAGTTGCGTTCATTTCTCTTTCAAAAAAAAAAACCCTGCCAGGTAAAATCTGAAAAAAAAAGAATAATATAGCTAGTACCTCAGTGATTAATACATATATATAATAAACTCAATGTATGTTATGAAATTTTAAATGTTTCAACAAACTAGATTTTCCGATAAAACGTCTCCAGTGTACATCATGACAATGCAGCAATTCTTTTATTTAAAATAGATCTCAGATAATTGGTAAACAATTAAACCTTAATTAAACTTGACAATGTATATACCTACTGTCATGTCGACACTGACGAGAGCAGCTCTTATGTTGGAGTTTTAGTGCCATGTCGCCATTATGGGAATCCTCTGGACCACCTGTATATTTCTAATAACACTTTCTTTCACTGGTCACGTAATCACTCTTACGGTGGAACCCGATTGTCTGCCGTACGAACCTCCGCTGTCGAGTAGCGTGTTCCTGGATACCAACGTAGAACCACCAGGGTAAGGAAAGGAGAGATTGTGATAAATAATATCAGTGTAACAGTTATAAATAAGATATATGAATATTTCAAAAAAGATATTCAGATAATACAAAGTTGAGGAAATAAAATATTTTAAAAAATTGTATTCCCAAACATTAAAGAAGTTAACACAATTCATTTTCTGGCTCATACTCAAAATCAACTAGATAAATTATATGATATGTGCACCAAGTATCTTAAAATACAAAATACAGTATTTGTAAATGTTGTTTATTGAGAAAACGTCCAGTAAACCGATAATCACGTCATATACATATAGTATGTTTCATATGTGATCCCCTTCATGATTTCAGTATAAACGTATGTTCAGTAAATTACACCAGAACAAAGAAAGAGGACCAACCGTGCCCAGGAGTACCCGCCAGTAACTGTCCTATAGATGTGTAAGTCATATCTAAGCATTTTATGCATCCTTATACCTTTTCAAAGTCATATTCTATCTGATAGCACAAAATTGAATCATCTAAAAAGAAAATAGTTGCTCAATGATTTTTACAGAGCACTGAAGCACTAACAAAACTGTTCTAAATTGTTTGTAGTAGTAACTACAATTAAGTTAACACTTAATTCTGTTCAATTTTCACTCAGAACCATGTAAATGATACACGAGGAACAAAAATATATACAGTCATATAATGTAAAGGGTCAAGAAAGGGATGTGATTTAAGTTTAGCTAGAGGGAGAGCAGACTGAATTGAATCATTGATATTTTGTTGCTTTTTTAAGAACGGTGATTTGCCCCAGCTACAGATGTTGTAATGGGTATTCCACTGAGTCTGACGCTGACACGAATTGTCCTGCAGGTAAGTATTAAAAACTTTGCATCGTGATTATTTTTGATTGTAGTAAACATTAATTTATAATAAAATGGATATCATGATTTCATATTCAACACATTGTTTTAGCAATCTGTGATAGTCAGATCACAAAGACAGGTGCTTGTCAGAATATAGCAGATGGTGGACGTTACCAACTTATCTTAGGGACGAAGATCACCACAAGTAGTGGGCAGTGTAACGAGCCAAACGTCTGCTCCAGTTGTGGTTCTGGGTTTTATGCAGATGGTCCAAAATGTAAAAGTAAGAATTCTTATTACTTGTAATGGAGATATTTAAATAAATTTAAATATATATATTTTTTACGACCAAACGGTTATCTGATCACTACTCGTTATCTTCACCTATTTAATTATTCTTGGTAGAAATGAAGAATTTAAATAATATCTAGAAGAATTCTTTTCCTGTGGCAACTCAATATTAATAATTTGCCAATAAGAGAATATATCATTATTATACTTTGAAATTGCATTTCATTATTATACTTTAAAAGTTTGTGGAGAGATAACTAAGTGCGAGCATACCGTGTGTTCAAACGGGACCCATACCGAATGTGTTCAGTGTGAGGGAACGGTTGTAAATCAGGTGTATGGTAGGGCGCTGACCCCCGCAGCCGATAATGGACAATCTTGTCAAGGTAAGGTCAGCAGCTACAACTCATAATTTTCTTCTCATTCAGTTCAGTTCATTTCTTTATCCCGTGGGACATACATCCCATAAGTTTTACAATATATAATTTTATGTTAAACAATTACATACATAGTATACATAGTACAATATCATTTTATACAATTACAAACTTAATGCATTTACATACTGACGTATAGCTTTTTAAAGTATTCTAATACAGGTATTCTAATTTGTTAGCATGATTTAAAAATTTCCCTAAGTTTCTTATGTCTTTAGTATTTGAACTGCAAAACAGTTGTATTAATTTGAAGATACTTGGTCGTCGGAAGTAGTAATGTTTAATAAACTTGTCTCTTAAATTACGAAAAACCGCACACAAAAAGTAAAAAATGAAATTCATCTTCAATATCATTCAAATTACATAAATCACATATCCAATTACCCCTTGTTAAGTTATTATATCTTCCTGTCTCAGTCTTTAAATTATGTGCTGATAATCTAATACAAGTGATCATTTTTCTATATTTTGCATTAATAGGTTTCCTTAAATAACCTTACAAACAAAAATAGTCAACTAAATGCTTATATAACATACATATTGATGATCCATGTATATCAGATATTACTTTCTGTTTAAAAACGTCGCACTTTCTATTATACGTTATATCTAATGTTATACTATCTTTTTGAATACTATAATACTATAATATATACTATAATATATAAATCAGCCAAACCTAAAGTGTACATGCATTTCATTTTTGATATTCATTATCCAGGGATCATTATTATCATATATCATAACATGTACTTAGTATACAGTATACCAATATTAGCACTCCAATATTGTAATATTTTGCGCTTTCTATATATATATATCAAGTGGCATTCTACCTAACTCAAAATAAACAGCACTATAGCAAGTATTTTTTCTTACACGAAGTATTCTTTTACAAAAATTAATATGCACTCTTTCGACATCTTGACCCTTATGGAAACCCCATATTACAGTGCCGTAGCATAATACACTGAATCCGCTATTAAAATTGTATCATCCATCTACATAATTAAAAATAAATTAATCATCTGAAGTTCAACTGAAGGACACTTCCTTTCAATAAAATTTCGTTCAAAATCATTCAGATACATGGAAAATAATATAGGGAATCAAATTTCCCCTTGTAGAACGCCAGCTTAGATAGATAAAAAAATGTGTCTGTTTCAGATATAGATTTTTATGTATCAACTGCTTAACTTACCTTAATTAATATGACAGCTATTAAAATCAAATTTATATGCTTGGCAGTGGCCTGTTCGTGGAGGAGTGATAGCACAAGGTGCTACCCCGGAATATGTCAAGATGAACTTGCCGCTAACTGCAACTGTTCTACAGGCTTCACGGGGACACATTGTGAAAAAAGTAGGTTTAAATGTAAAGGGACAGATAATAAAGAATATAAAATTCAAAGTAAAATTGCTTGGGATGATACTTACAGGAAAATTGCGTATACTGATTTGGGTTTTTTTTTTCAGTTACTGAACCTGTTTCTGTAACATTTAATGAAGCCATATTAGAGTTTGGAATGATCACCAGCAAAAATCCAACTGACCCAAACAATATATCTCAACCTCAACCGAAGATTTGGGTTAATGAATTACAGTTCAATACGTTAAAAGCAAAGGTCACGTCTGCATGGATCCCGAGAGAATCACCACCTGATCTTACAAATCATTACGTTACAGAGTACCAAGTGGGTCTTGTAGAAGGTTCTGTGGACTATGAACTTACTCAGGGTTTGTGTCTCGATGTTTAATAACAAATATCTTACTACAATTGTTAAATCTCAGAAAAAAGATAAGTAACAAAGTACGATAAAACACGTTTAAAACGAACACAATTATAATGAATTGACGCTTACAGAGAAGTGATTTTCATTCCCCGTGACTTTAAAATATATTGTGAACCTAACGTATATAACGAGTTACGATTATAACGAAGCAAATTCAACCGTCTCTGGCACTTTAATGTTTTATTGTGTACTTTTTAAAAAGACTTTACAACCAACCTTTACATTCTCATTTCCTTTTGTCATTAGCGATTGGTGTTGTTACATCCGGGACCAAAACTTGTAGTGATCTCACTGTCCTAGCTCCAAAGACGTCCGCATACACATGTGAAGTTGATTTCACGTTTGCAAGCTTGTTCAGCCATAACGATACGTAAGCTTCCAAAAAAAAGATCAATTTACGAAAATTAGTTTCTTTAAAATCCCCTTAAGCAATAGCTGATTAATTTATTTTTGGATAGATTGAAATGGTCATATAGGGTAAAGAATGGTGGTTATGTGAAGGTAATGAACAAAGAAACAACGACTGAGGAAACATTTTTCTACGACGGACAGGAATCCTCAGCCAGCTATACCTATCACTTTGATACAGTCAAGCCAACATCTAATAGTAATAATCCATTGGTGGCTCCTGACCTCACAAACACGGTGGGTCTTGAAATTTCGTAAACTACACTTCAAATATTGCTTTAATATGGAAAATTTTCACTTTAATCAAATACATCATGCTCAAGAATTAACATCTAGCTTCCATTTGTGTTTTAGTCATCAATAATGATATCCTGGAGTAACTGGACTGATGATTTGTCTGGAATTTCGTATTTTGAGTACGAGCTTACAGATATTGGTTACGGGACATCAGTGTCCGTGAAATCTGAGTCAAATATTACTGCCAACGTAGAATCGGTAAGAATCAATTGATACTGCTTTAATGCCCCTGAGTGTACATCGAAACGTGTTGCAAAGACTTTGTCATTTAACATACTGATATTTACTGTAGGTTACTTTCACTGCACCAGCAGATGGACTTTATCAAGTTGTTCTCACATGCCACGATTTGGCAGGGAATTATAAATCTGCTCGGCGAGTATTTCTATACGACAACTCTTCTACCATTGATATCACTCCAGGTCACATGATATCTGACACCGTGTCCACGTCAAACACATCAAATGTTTGGGTTGTGACCTCCGTGACGAGCGTCACTATAGAGTGGGATAATCACTTCAAAAACTCGCGCCATAAAAATAACCAGTGGTTAAATGGTGTAAAGGCTTATGGAGGAATTGACAAAACATCAAAGTATGACGATAACACAGGGGAGATAACCATTAATAGCATTGATCACGAAGACGGTAAGGAAATTAATAAATATGTAAATAACAATATAAATGCTGTTTATATAAGTTTAAAAGTAAGTTCTGTTATTCTGACTTCTTTTTAGGAATAATTGATTTCAAAGTCAAACTTGCTATAAACAGCGACGAAACAACAAAAACCCAGCAAGTAGCTGAGTATTCTGTTTTCAACATTCACAAGCAGCAGGAAACCTTTACTGGATTAAGCTGGAATAATGGTGATCGTATGAAAATTACTGTAACGGCTTTTGATATAATGGGCATGTCGAAGGAAGACCATGTGACCTTGTATAAAGATACGACACCACCTGAAATCACTGATCTTTGGTTGACCAAAGAAGACAAACTTGATGTTGCTGTGTTTGGATTTACTGATTTCAACAAAATGACGTAAATTCCTTTTGGAAGTCATCTAGGATTCATAGTGAAAGTAATATTTATCAATTTGAAGACATCAAACTCTTATTTAACAAAAATAATTTCATATTGCAGTATAGAATGGTCAGCAGAAGACCCACATAGCGGTATTGACAGTATGGCTTGGAGGATTTACGATGCAGACGACAATACATTGCAGCATGGGATAGAACATGTACCTCCTCAAGGGGATTCTGCGGTAGGAATCTCAACATATTCAATCCTTTATTATAAGTTAATACATGTATTTTAGACTTAATTTAACTGATTTTGAGTGGCTTTCTAATGCAGAGCTTGACAGAATGTACGAATAAATACCATAATGCCTCGCGTGGAGCAGACTGTTATTGCACAGCATTTGTCGGCTGTTTCCACAAACATTTTGTGGTCAAGCCTACTGTTCCTAGCAACGGCCTTCAAGGTGTCCATGATGCAGATTATTTCGTAGAAGTGGTGGCTTCTAATAAGGCAAAGCTACAGACTGTGGCACGGAAAAGAGTAAGTACTTTCATGAGACGCAATTTTTCTCGATCAAAACGAGAATGCCAAGTGCTGAAATAACTGCATCCTCTTTATAGATCAGTATTGATACCTCTCCACCTCATACTGGATTCGTCATGGACGGTTCTGTGGGTCAAAAAGAGGTTGATTACCAACAAGGATTGACACTACAGGCTCACTGGTCGGGATTCTTTGACAGAGAAAGTGGTGTCCGATTCTATCAATATGGCTTTTCCACTGAATGTTTAACGTCTGCAAACTTTTCTCTAGTTACCAATAGCAGCTCAATAGTAAGGGACTTACGTTTCCGAATTTTTACATCACTGTTAAGTGTAAGAAAAATACATTCTATCAAGTTTCATGTGTCTTTACATAAATACAGTGTATCATTTTTGTTTCAGGTTAAAATAACAACATCTACTGAGTCAAGCACAACGGTAACGAACGAAAATACGTATTATATTACAGTTGTGGCCTACAATGCAGCGTACCAACCTTCTCATCCTGTGTGTTCTGATGGTGTTACGATAGATTCAAGTGATTCTTCCATTCAAGAACTGTCAATCAGCAACTCCCGAATTAAAGGTGGCCTCGTAACGAATTCAGGAGAATATTGGATTGTCTCGGATGATAGAACCAGAAAGAAAATTTACAACACCACAACTTGCAGGTGTGAAAGCAAGATCAATTTCTTCTTTCTTTTTTTTTAATTCAAGTAGATTCTGTTCAGAGGAATGCTGTAAGAATTCTTCGTCAATAGGAAAATGTTCTTATTTATTAACAGCACAAAAGCCACTGCACTTGCAAGTTTGGATCTGATCCCTATAGAGAGAGATGCCAGTGGAAAAATTCTGGAAGTTGATGGTGAAGTGGTCTGTGCCAGTGCAACAGGAGCGCCTTCAGATCTAACACCAGTTCTCTCCAGTGCCACCACTGTGAGTTTAAAAGAAATAAAAGAACAGGAAAAGGTGTAGATTGCCGCCTTCCATGGTATTGAAAAATTAATGCTAGCATGCAAGGACAATTTATCTTTGAATAAGTTGATGGAGACTGTTAAAAGTTTGTACATTGGAATGTTTGATTTTTAACCCTGTTGGATTCTACTATACAAATTTATATTTCCAATTCTTTGAATAATTCTTTATTTTTGTTTCTGATTAAGTAAGTAATAATGATTTTAATATTGAATTATACCTTGCAAAGTATGAACTGAATTGGCGTGAAAATGCCGGAAAAGGGGGAGTCTACAATTATGAAATAGGGATAGATTCCACTCCTAACAGTGCCAGTCCATCCATCTTACCTTTCATCTCAACAGAACATCATCCAAGTTATCGATTCGCATCAAATCTACTTCCTGTTGGTACTGAATTCTACTTCACAATTAAGACAATCACCAAAGCAAACAAGGAAAGTATTCAGGTAAGGACATTGTATTTCTTCTAAACAAACGGTTTTAGGTGTATATGAAATAAATACATTCCTTAAAAATTACAGAATTAAATGTTGATACTTAAAACTCAAAGCAGAGAATTGTATTTGCAGAGTGTAAAATGTATCCTGGATACCTCGGCACCAGTTTTTACCGGCTCAGTATCGGTTTCTATAAAGAACAATAACGAATATCTAGTAGCTTCATGGCTGACACCATTCACTGATTCAGAAGATCCATTTTCACTGGATGTAGAATACGCAATCGGTAACAAAGACATGTTCTTCGATTTAGTTTGTATCTGTCATGATTTAAGATCTGCTATACATGTATTTATTTTCCAATTCTTCCTATTTTTTGCCATAATTAGGTACAGTGGCTTATGGAACACAAGTTCAGAAGTTCAAACCGTTGCAAAAGGGAGGGACGTGTACGTCATTGTCTCCCGCCCTCTGCACAGGTGTGGCTCTGAGCTCTCTGGACTGGAATCTGCATGGGTTTACTGTGTATTATGTCACTGTTAAAGCTACAAATAGGGCACAAATGTATACGTTGGCTACGTCTCCACCCTATACACATGCAATACAAAAACCCACGGCTGGCATTGTCATAGAGATCCCATCAGCGGTAAGAGGGATACATTCAGTTTGAATTAACTATGAGATGTCTGATTAATGTAAAGTTGAATATCTTATTATGTTCTTTCCTTTCTTTTTCTATGTAGAACGTGAAACCGTATGTTCCAGTGATGGTAAGAACATACTTTTCCTTCACTTGCTTTGACAGGTTTGAAATAAAAGGTATTCTGAAAAATACAGAATTGTTATTTAATTTCAGGATATTGAAGACATAGACTTTCAGAATGAGACAGACAGGATTTCAGCACGGTGGTGGGGATTTGACCATCCACATTCCAATGTCTCCTATAAATTGTCAATCGGTTCAACCAAAAGTGGAACTGACATAGTTAACGCTCGAAATGTCGGGAGGAATACAACCATTACAATTACTGGAATCACACTGAACAATTTACAGGTAAGCAACTAAAATGATGCACGTTTGAAATGAAATATTGTTGAAAAAAAAAGAAATGCACAAAAGTATTCAGACATATGAGTACTCAGTAATGTGATTTATTTGGATCAACAGTATTTCAGAAGTGCTTTAACACTTGTTTTCCTTTTCTAGTTGATGTATGGGTGTGTTATTTGTTGTTGTTGTTGTTTTTTTAACAGAGAATATTACATTTTATAGGGATTTCGTCTGAATAAGATTTTGGAGTGCACTCAAGATTTATTAGCATTGAATAGTGCAAAATTTCATGTAATCTTCTTCAATATCTTACATTCTCTATCCCACATTTTTGTTTGTTTGTGTGTTGTTTAACGCCCCTCTCGAGAATTTTTCGCTCATATGGTGACGCCAACGCTTGCCGGTGGAGAGCTGCAAATTTTGACCTATAGTCAGCACTCAGGGCCATTGAGCAAAGCTGCCAAAAGGGGATCTTTTTCGTGCCAGCACTTACTGCGACACGGGACTTTATAGTTACGGTCCAATTTGAAGGACCGATCTACACGTCCTCTAGTGGTTTCGAACCCGCGACGTAAGGATCAACTCCATACATCCAACCACTGCGTCACACGGTCGACTCTGTCCCACATAAAAAACTCGAACATTCAACCTTTGCTTTCAATTGTTTCAGTTGACTAATTGACCAGTGGTTCATGAAGTTTTCCACGCAAATAAGGGAACGGTCAACTAAATATTGTCAAGTAACAGTTGTTGTCCACTTGTATTTCTATGAGAATGTGCTAGGTATACAAAAAATTGCATTAGAACATTATAGCGATGAACTTTAGTCAGTGTGTTGTTAGATGGCAGAAAGTGAAGCACTTAAAATTTCAAAAAATACATATACGTATATACAACTCTTAAAACAGAATATTGATCATCTATTAAAATCACACATGCTAAGTATTAGAATCCATTGCTTTTGCTGCTTTTTAGTTTTAGTACATGTTCCATCTAACTTATGTATCTAGATGTGTACATAATAACTATTCCTTAATTTTCACTCATGTTTAAATATTCATATTAAGTTTAATAAATTTGATTATATTTCATTTCAAAACGTACTTAATCCAGTGCAGTTTCCAAATTGAACTCCCATTTTGATTGATTTTCAGTCTCTTTGTTGTAAATATTTTCATCGGAATGTTGGTTAGCATACCGTTATGTTTATTTTCTTTACAGACTTATTATGTGAGTATAACTGCCTCCACTGCTTACCAAGACACCATTGTGACGTCGGACGGAGTGACGGTTGTGCAGGACAATACTCCCTTATTAACCATCACTGTCAATGACGGGACAACCTGTACCATGAATGGTGAGAAAGGAGAGAGGCAAATATTCAATCATTTTTCCTTACTCGTTTGTATTAATCATTTTATTCAATGAAATTGGATACATTTTTTTGTATTTCAGTTGACAGCAATATGACATTATTCACACATCATGATATGGTAAGTTGAGAATATTTTAACTTCGTTACATTTCTATGATATAAAATGATTTTCACTTATGTAATTGGGATTATATAGGGTTTTGGCATACATATTCATACTTTGTAATATCAGGACAATCGTAAGCGTTGTGAAGAGGACATAGATTTCCAGGCATCTGTGACTACTTTGTCCGCTCACTGGGAAATCCCAGTCGCTGAATCTAACTACCTTATCGACATCTTTATCAGGGTAGAAATCAAAGAGCCTTTGGGAGGTTGGTATATCTACATTTTTAAAGACCGACAAATCTCAAGTTTTAGTAATGCCAGTCAAATAGAATAGAAGTTGGGTTATTTAAGCCTTGCATTAAAAAATTAAACAGAATGAATATTTTTTTATCCAGGAAATTGGAGTGGAGTAACAGAATGGACGTATCTTATGACACAAAACCACCACACATTTAGGGGTCTGAACCTCTCTCCAGGGCGAATGTATAGGTCCTCTGTCAAATTTTGCGCCAGACTTCACTGTTTTAATCCTGTAAATAGTAATGGCGTGACAATATTAGCCAATAATCCAGTAACTGGAGGATTGACTCTAAACCATCAAGGTTCCGGTTCAGAGACGGTAGGGGGATTTCTTTACGCATCCTAACACTTGTTTAGAATAAAGCCTTTCAGCAAAGAGCATGTATGGACTTTTCTTTCTGTGATAGGTGTCGGTAGAGGTTGACCAGTTCTACGACCCAGACATCATTTCTCCTCTTGATAAATATTCTGTTGTCAGTAAATACGAATATGCCATCACGGATAACTCCACTAACGGTAATGTGCATACGAGGTGGACAACGATAACAACACCCCCTTCTGGACAGAAGGTAGAATTGTTGCTTTAGAGGTGTTAGTATTTAGATCATAGCGAAATTATAAAAACATGAAGATTATGTTGAACAATCGTCTTGCATTGATCATATTGCTTTACTTTTCAGTTATCATTTACAATCTCATTGACCGGTACAATGGACTTCAGTAAATGTCGGAATCTTGTTGTTAGAGGCTACAACAAAGCGGGACTCTTCAGCTCTGTATCAGCAGGAATTAAAGACTGTGCCCAATTCAACCCCATTCTTATTGTTCCCAATGTCATAGTAGATGCTGTGGGTCCACCAGATCCATCAGATGGTACGATGTGTTTTCCTATTCAATTTTTTTTTTCAAATAAAGACATTGCTATACACTAAGAAAAAATGACAGTTTGGGTATTAAAATATGTAACTTTTGCTTTTTCAAAATAAAATTTATTTCTGTCAGATATGAAAGGACTTGGGGTATCTTTACCCGAGAATGCAATATGGTCAACGGCAGATGCCGACTACACTCCATTTCGGACAATATTATCAGCCGTTTGGCATTCTGGCAGATACTCCTCTTACAAGTGGGCCGTCATTGAAGACAAAACTCCAGAGAGTGTGACATATAACAGGCAAACTAGTCCACTATCACTGAGAGATCCATGCTCTCATAGCGATGTTGTTCACTCCAAATGTGGAACTACGAGTAAGAGAAACAACTATATACTATATTTGAATTTTCTACCAATCATTAACGTTATCAAAACAGTTAAAATAAACCTCAAAAAACTGTATTTGTATTTCAGCACATGAGTACGTAAACGTTGTTTTTGGTGAAAATGAGTACTTAGTACATGGTAAAACGTACATGATATGCATACATGCCGATGAAGAGAATGTAACTAATGAATTGTGGACAAATCTTCTTCCTGAGCTCAGTGTCTGTACTGATGGTGTCATCGTGGATCTCACAAGTCCCACCGTGGCTGACGTGTGGCTCGGGAACGTCCAGACAACCAAGTATCAGGTAAGACAAAGCCTCTTTAATTTGTTTCTGATGACCAATATCATGGTTTCCCAAATTGACAAGAAAAATATGTTGAAATTTTCAAGAAAATGGACCTTAAACCATTGTAAAATAATATTTCCAGGTAGAGTCATCCGACTTCTATGTTAACTGGAAATCGTTTGTGGATATTGAGGAGCTTGGAATCGGGAAACATCATACGGGCATAAGTTACTATGAAGTCAATATAGGTAGGTTTAATATAGTTAATCTATCCTTGCTGGAAAGAAAATTTTATTAGAATATATTTATTAGAGAAAGCATAGGAAAGCAGGCAAGAAAAGCGATCAAAATGCCAGTTTTCTTTTTCAGGATCCACTAAAGGAGGAAATGACGTAGTGGACATCACGAATGTTGGGGTGGTAAACCACGCCCACTTTGGTTCCCTTACCTTGCATTCTGGTCACAAATATTACGCAACTATAACAGGTGAATACAAATCTAAAATGTATGTAGCAATATATGCCATATATCAGTATCAGTATGGATTTCCAAATACTGCATTTTACAGGTTATGATTTTGTTGGAAGGAAAGCTAGTAAAACTTCTGACTTTGTTATTGTCGATTTTACTCCCCCCACAATCACTGATGAACCATTCAAACTAAGGACTGGTCGACACCTCACATCCACAACCGAAGTGTCTGTCTGGTACTTATCATTTTGATGATTGTGATGATTTTTATGATCCTTCAATCATAAAAGGATTATTACCCTCACACTCTTTTCTTTTTAACTAATTTTTCTCTTTAATTCAATAGTTGGTCAAACATTTTTGATGATAAGGAAAGTGGAATAGACTATTATCAGTGGTCAGTTGGCTCCATGCCAGGGTACAATGATTTGATGGGATTCACAAAAGTAAACGATGTCTGTGCCACTAATGACCCATCAACACTCAGTATGATGGAGGGACATGCATATTACATCAATGTTAGGGTAAATATTTTCAGTGTAAATTTTGAAGATGCGTATTCTTGTAAACATTTCTGGATCTGATATCATTTTCTTATATGTACAGGCATATAATAGAGCAGGCCTTTCAACCACTGTAACGTCATGGGCATTTACAGTGGAGGCTTCTCCTCCAGTTGCTGGTCACGTGTTTGATGGTGACAAATCAGAAACTTCGAATAAAGAAGATCTTGATTTCCAAACGCATCTTAATTACCTCTCTGCCTATTGGGAAGGGTTCTTTGATCCACATTCGGCAATCAAGGAGTACTACATAAGCGTTGGAACATGTCCTCGATGTCAGAATGTGCTTCAGCATCAGCTTATTGGAATTGTTAATGGTAAATCTACTATAAAGGGAAACATATAGCAATTACATGTATTTCAGGATCGCCGTGTTTCGCCCCTCCTCCTTCGTGACGTCATATTGAAATTTCCCATATTTTAGAACGTTAACGTAAAATAAAAAGAATACCATTTTTGTTTCATAATTTAGTATATAAATCTGATACCTCTATTACTATTATTATCTTTAAATAGTGGAAACAAATTTCAGCTGCAAAAGAACTTTTAAGAAATTTTCCAAAGTTAGTAACATCAAAACATATGACTAGGGTCAAAAACTAGGGTTTTTGATATCATAGACAACTGCTTCTTCAATAAAAACGGAAATTTTCATATCGTGATTGGTCATCATCAAAATTACTTTGTACACTCTGATTGTGCACAAAAGTACTCTGAAGTTGATATTAAAAGGGTGCTGGAGTTCCTCATTAACAACGTCAATGTAGTTGCTTCAATTTAAAAATAACAATGTACTTCCCTCGCTACCGAGGATGAACAAGTGAATATATGGTCCGCATACTTATTCTTTTTCAAGCATCACATTTAAGAACTTGCGTACTGTATCACATTAGTTCAGGATAACCTCTAAAATAAAAATATATTCGTAAAATGTCTAGACTGAGAGTGCTTATTTATGATTGCGCTATCTATTCCATTTCCTACAAATGCAATCAATTTTAATTGCTCAGTACATTAAAATGTACTTGAAATAGGTCCAAAAACCTTTCATTTTAAATTTCAAAAAATGAAAAAAGTTCAACAGTTCTCATTTTATACATGTGTTTCTTATGTTTTGATTTAGCACGTTTTCCCCATGAGTTTGTTTTAAAATGTTAAATTTTAAATCATCATAAAGAACAATTTTTTTTAGAATGATAGTTAGTTTTTTCAGAAGCATCAGTTTATGTAATGTTTTACAATGGAAAAATAATTTTCATGATACATTCAATATTTGGATACAAAAAACTTTAACTGGGAGCTAAAAATAAGTATGAAACATTTTTTAAAATGCGTTGTAACCTATTAGTTTTACAAAACAAATTTTGGCTGGATATGTATATTTGGAGCATTAATTTAGACTGTATTTCATGGATAGAATAAATTATAACTTTCCCTATTATTATATATTATGTATGATTACTTTTATGGTGATCTACTGTAAGAAATGTAGAATGGATTAATGTTTTACTGTTTTTTTTATTGAAGAATCGTTTTGCTCGTATAATTTTCTCGCTTAATTTGGCATAAATAACGTGCAGAGTGGACAACCGTAAGTAGAAAAGTTATGATATTAATTAAGGAAGCTATAATAGACCCCCTTCTTCTGAATCCTCACAGAGTACCGACTTACTTCTGTTGGTATTGCCGTCGGGATGAAGTATTACACTTCAGTAACCGCCTGTAACACAGCAGATTTGTGCACCACAGTGACCTCTGATGGCATCGTTATTGACAATAGTCCACCTACACCTGGTCGAGTAAGGGATGGATTAGAAACATCAGACATTGAATACCAAGCTTCAAGGTAGGATTTATGTTAGGCAATGATCGCATGATTTGTGGTCATTCAGAATTTTTACATTCTTTTCTTACAACCATGTCTCTTCTTTTTCAGATCGCACATTTCTGCGTCCTGGCATGGTTTTTCAGATCCACAGTCCGGATTGGAGAAGTTTGTTTGGAAGGCTGGAATAACACCTGGTGGACATGACATTTTTAATGTAACATTTCAGCACATACATTTGAATTCTCAAGCTCGAAGTCTTCTTATTCCTGGAGGTCTCCCTATTGGAAGAAGAATTTACGTCACTGTCGGCTGCTATAATAACGCAGGTTAGACATATTAATCAATATCATTAATGAATATCAAATATAAAAATAATTTTTGAATATTTAACAAAGTACTTATTGAATCTCAGATAAAAAATTTCTTCATTTTTCAAAAATGTTTCTTGATAGCGGAAAAAAAAAATTAACGGAAAAAAATTGTTGGCTACGAAATGTCATTTTCATTTCATTCAGTCAGGGTTCGTTAAGATTGATTGATTGTATGTTGTTTTACATACCATTTGACAATTTTTCACTCATATAGAGATTCACCAACTACTGCTGAAGGACTTCAAATTTAGACTTATACTCCGCACTCAGGGCTATTCAGCAGTGAGAATTCTTTATCTTGCCAACGCCTACCGTGAAACGGGACCTCGATTTTTAAGGTCTCATCCGAAAGACTTTCACTTCTAGTGTCGGGCGCTTGGCGAAGGAACAGTGTGACGGTACAATTTGTCGTTTTGTACATATTGTCGTCGGCGACAACATGTACCTACCCTCACTGCACATATTGTCGTCCATCTGTACATATTGTCGCCGACTGAAAAGTTACATATGTACATATTGTCGCTGGCGACATTATGTGCCTCACCCTCACTGTACATATTGTCGCCCCACAGATATTGTTGTTTAAAGGTGTTTTTTGCTGTTTTTTGGTAGTTTTGTGAATGTAATTGGTGTGAGAATCACACTGACGTGTCTTGTATGCTATTTCTTGCAGCGTGATTGTGACGGTACATTTTGTCGTGTTGTTCATATTGTCGCCGGCGACAATGTGTACCTTCCCTCACTGCGCATATTGTCGCCCATCAGTGTTATTGTATATGTTAAGTTAATTATTTAATTATGAAATTTTACCTGTGGACTAAGTATAAACAAGTTAAACAAACAGAATTTACCAAAGCACAAAAAAAAAAATCAAACCACCAAGCAAAGGGGGGGGGGGGCTACATCTGTCTGGGTCTTTGGTGTTTGAGAAGATTTTTAAAGATTTTCTGTATATATTCCTATGTAAAACTTTGATCACCCATTGTGGCCCCACATTACCCCTGGGGTCATGACTTGAACAAAATTGATTTTGTTTTTGTTTGTTTGTTTTTGGTAAAAATGTGTTGAAATTGACCCAGTAGTTCTTGAAAAGAAGCTGAAATTATGAATAGTTTACAGACAGACGGACGCTCAGACAAAATGTGATCAGTAAAGCTCACTTGAACTTCCAGTTCAGATGATCTAAAAATGTTATTTTTTGCGTTATTCTTATATTATTATTAACAATATATTATATTTATAATATTATATCGGCACATGATCGTATATAAGAATAATTTCCAAATAATCATTACTACTGAACCAAAAAAGAATACCTGTATTCAATCTCCATGTATATGCTACAAGAAAAAAAGAATAGCTGATTTATCAGATATCTCAAGAATTACGGTATCTTGATATGTCAGAGCGATGTACATCAATCCTGGACACAATTTTCTGACCAAAAAGTTTTCTCCCTACAGTATTGCGAGTAATGCTGTCTGTCTCCCTCCGTGCGTGTGTATGTTTGTCAATTTCCCTCTCTTTTCTCAAATAAATATTCGTCAAAACAATATATCGACGACAATATATACCGACCTTGACTGTACATATTGTCGCCGACGACAATATATGCTGGTGCTTGACTGTACATTTTGTCGTCCATTATGCAGGAGAAAAATAAGGCTCGTCTCGGTACATATTGTCGCCGGCCACAATATGCACCGGTGGACGACAGTACGTGCAGTGAGGGTAGGTACATATTGTCGCCGACGACAATATGTACAAAACGACATTATGTAACGTCACAAACAGTCACTACCTATGTTTACGTCTTTGGTTTGACGCAGCGCGGCGAACGAGAATCGAATCCGGGCATCCCGATCACGAAGCCAACGCCCAACTACTTGGCTACCGTGATCGGTTGGGTATCTTAACAGAAGGGTGTCTAATTTCGGTTATCTATTGGAAATTTTATGCAATATATATATGCACATATTTCTATGGTGAGGGGGGGGGGTATGTGAATCATGAGGCGGGTGGATGGGATTTGCACTTTATTTTCACAATTATTGCACAAAAAAGTAAGTATCTCGTTCAGATGATTTAAGCCATGGAATCAGCGAGTCCTATTGTACTCACTTCTATACCAATGTAGAAGGTTGTGTTTCACAAATATCCTTCAAAGTCGAAATATTTCAATGTATGCGAGTACCTTGGAAACTTGTCAATCGTAGATAAATTGTAGATGTGTTTAGGAATTTGAAAAGGAGTCTTCAATATCTTTGGGTAAAATGCTATAAGTTCCGTGGCATGTACCATTGTCTAAAACCGCTATCGAAACAGAAAACATGCTTCATTTTTGTACAAAACTTAGATTTAGTGCAAATGCTTACCTAAAATCACTTCTTTCCAGCACAAGGTCTCTTTTATTGCTTTTCATTTAGTTCTGAACATAACAAAACTTTTCGAAATATCCAGTCAAAACTTTATATGTTTATCATTGTTGGCGTTTTAACAATTAGGGGGCAACTAGGGCACTTTTGATTTTTATTTAAATTCCTTTTATCACTTTTAATAAAATATCATGTCAATTTGACACAGGATTGTATGTGGAGGCATCATCTAATGGTTTTATTGTCGACGAAACTGGCCCTATAATTGGTCAAGAACCATCGTTTCCGGTCGATTTCGTGACGTATGATACCGTAACGGATCAGTACTATCAGGTGCATCGAACAACTCTTAAAGTGGAGTGGCAGGTCAGCGACCTAGAGTCCCACATCGAGCGCCAATATCTGACCATCAAATCTCACGTGGGAGGAGACTTTAATAGTGCGCCAACACAGGTGATAAAAAATAAATTTTCTGTAACTAAGTAAATACTGTTCGCCAACACAGGTTATAAATAATTAATTTTCTGTTAACAAAAGTGATTACACAAAGAATTAAGTTGTTATTGGTCTCATCACTGAATAGGCTTGGTTAAATTACTTTCAGGTCTATTAAAATCTTATCCTTATTTTGTTCCTTATTTACTAATTAATTTTATAGATGTTATATAAACAGCCACGTGTATGAGCTTTGTGTAAACACTGTGTTTCTCATGTTGTTGAGAATATTGACTAGAATTTGGACAAACGTCTAAGATCAATTCTTCTGCCATTAGCCCACCATGTCCAAGAAGGTAGAGGTGTAAAGAGAAAGAAAACCATGAAAAAGTTATCGATGAGTTTGGTTATAACTGTAGTCATTTTTTAATTGCAGATAAATGGTATTGTGCGAGACTATACTTTTAGTAACCTGGACCTCCATGATGGCGTTGAATACTATGTTACGCTTATCAGCTGCAACGGAGCTGGCCTATGTTCCAACGCCACCTCCAAACCTCTCTTAGTCGACAGTACTCCTCCAAACAGAGGTCTTTATATAATCCAATCAACTTATTTTTTATGTTTAATTCAAATTTGCTTCAGTATCATGAAACATGTATTTTTCCTGTTCTGTGAACGAGCGACAGATGCTTTAAAAATGATTAAGCTTTTTTGTAATATCAGGGTAATGAATGAAAAACAGGTAAGGTTTTCTGGTATATTGTCTGGTATATTACGTAATTTTTGCAGGCGTATAAGCTGGTCGTACATTGACTTTTTCATTGATAAAAAAGTAAATTAACACGAATAAGAACTTTGCTCCCGAAATTATGAAACGAACTCATATCATGTTTACAGTAAAAGATTGCAAAAATGATTGATTGGAACTTTGCACCTGAAATTATGAAATGAAATCCTCTCTGTTCACCGCAAGTGAGTTGTAAATCACAAACCTTTTTATTATATAAAGACATTCCTTAACTCGCCTCACACTTATCAAATGGTGACGTATATTGTTTATTCATACCTGCATCTCGGAAAAGTCTGGTAAATTCATATACGTTATCAATCGAAGTAGAGAATAAATGGGTGATGTTAGCTAATTCAGTTGATACTCAGTGACAACTGAACATCCATACTAAATACTAAAAATGTGACCAAGCTCGAATGTTTTTCTAAATTATGAATGGGAACTGAAATATCGTTAGTATTTACGCAATTAAAATGGAATAACGGACAATTAGTGAACTTTAAAAATTTTAAGAAAATTTACTTTTATGCACTTATTACGATATTCATGCAGCCGTTCAGTATTTTGATGTTTTCTTGAATTATTGAAGAGCTTCAAATCGCGTTTCTTTCCCTTCTTTCACAAAATTATGGTCCCTAATTTTTTATAAATAAAGACGATATTGAACTAGTTTTTTAGGTATGGTTATGTAATGGTGAGCTAAATTTAAGCTCCATCTATACGTGATCTTAGAGACTGCTACAAGGATGTCTGAAAATTTGTACACTCATTGTTCATTATATGAAGATGTACACTATAGATATTTTCATGATGAATGGACAATTTTTCTTCATTTTACGGGTATTTTTCTCACTTTTATAGACTGTCATTTTTGGTTTATGTAGATTTGAGACATAGAATCAAGAAACTGCCATTTGGGGCATCCTTAGAGAAATTGCAGCTTAAAACCAGGTCTTTAAAACATACACAAAATTATGACCAGGTATTAAAAGAGGTTTAAAGGGAGATAGTCCCTACAAATACAAGAGTTCCTCCCTTTATCCTGTTTAAATGTCTTTTCCTTCTACTGATGGTAAAAATTTCTCGAAGTTGACATTTCTGTTGGTATACTTATGTACCTATGTTTAGATGGGAAAAGATACTGATCAACATCTTCAGTTTGTTAGAATCAGTAGATAATGTACTGCTTCAAAATATTTACAGCCTAAATAAAATTCTAATAAAGAAATGAGAAAAGAAGTACCATTGAAATAGTCGAAGCATAGCTGATACATACCTTCTGAACTGAAGAAAAATATGAGTAATACATGTATTTTTAATTGTACATACATGTATCTCTATGTTAATTTCTTTTTTGAGGAAATAGAGATAAAACATTTGCATGTATTTCTAAATGTCTTGATATTTCGTACATGATCTAGTATATTAAATCAAATCCTTATATTTTATTTTCAATTCTTTGTACTTATTACAGGTCTATATTTTCTACATATACTATAATGATTTATTGTTATTATTATTTTTTGTTAACCTGTCATTTGAAACAAAATTATTAAGCTTAAAGGCTTTATATTCTTATCTCTGCTAACAACATGACTTTCTTTCACAAAAATCCAAATATGGATGTCCTTATGGGTATAATCAATATTATAGTATATATGTGATGTGATAATACATGTAATTGACCTGATATTCGATATTCTACTAAAGATCTTAATTTTTAATGTCATGAACTGTCATATACAAAAGTACATTGATAATGAATGGACGTCACAGACGGATATGAAATTTAAATGGATTCAAAATATAAAACATTGTTTCAGAAAAAAATGTTGTTTATATAAATCATCTAACCTAGAATTTAATAATTTATTCACTTTTTTTTTAATTATTCATGCACCAAATCTAGTAGCTCATGATTCTTTTCTCAAGGAAATCAAAATTGATCTGGTATTCTTTCTTATAAAAGTACATCTACTCTCAATTAATTTTTCAGAGCACTGGAAATCAAAATTAGTGAGTCAGTGAGGCAGCCGAGAACTAAAGTTTTTAGGGTTTCCTAAAGAATAACTATCGATATCGATATCCTAAGTTACTTATGTAACTACAATTAACTTACTGTAATTTCTCTGTGTTTTAGAAAGCAAAATAAGCACTCAGAGAGGTAGTCGCAGATATGACCTACATTTTTTTCATTTTCTCTTACAAAATGTTACTATAGTTTTCTGAAGTAGTGAACTATAGTTCATTATAGTGAACTATAGTCTACTGTTGTTAAAGTTTTCTGAAGTAGTGAACTATAGTTTATTATAGTGAACTATAGTCGACTGTTGTTAAAGTTTTCTGAAGTAGTGAACTATAGTTTATTAAAGTGAACTATAGTCGACTGTTGTTAAAGTTTTCTGAAGTAGTGAACTATAGTTTATTATAGTGAACTATAGTCGACTGTTGTTAAAGTTTTCTGAAGTAGTGAACTATAGTTTATTATAGTGAACTATAGTCGACTGTTGTTAAAGTTTTCTGAAGTAGTGAACTATAGTTTATTATAGTGAACTATAGTCTACTGTTGTTAAAGTTTTCTGAAGTAGTGAACTATATTTTATTATAGTGAACTATAGTTTACCATCGTTAACTGTAGTTTACTATAGTATATACTTTATAGTCTACTATCGTTAACTGTAGTTTACTATAGTATATACTTTATAGTCTACTATCGTTAACTGTAGTCTACTATAGTATAAACTTTATAGTCTGCTATCGTTAACTGTAGTTTACTATAGTATATACTTTATAGTCTACTATCGTTAACTGTAGTCTACTATAGTATATACTTTATAGTCTACTATCGTTAACTGTAGTCTACTATAGTATATACTTCATAGTCTGCTATCGTTAACTGTAGTCTACTATAGTATATACTTCATAGTCTGCTATCGTTAACTGTAGTCTACTATAGTATATACTTTATAGTCTACTATCGTTAACTGTAGTCTACTATAGTATATACTTTATAGTCTACTATCGTTAACTGTAGTCTACTATAGTATATACTTTAATACTTTGATACTTTACTTTGTTTTACTGTTATACTTTGAAACTTTACCAGGATCGTTTGATTTACTTCCATGTTTTACTATAGATTTGATTTACTTCCATGTTTTACTATAGATTTGATTTACTTCCATGTTTTACTATAGATTTGATTTACTTCCATGTTTTACTATCGATTTTTTTTTTTTTTTTTTACATTTCGGGCCTTAATATCTCTTAAATTCTATATCAATAACACCATTTTAAAGATAATATTTGAATATACAAGTCATTAAAAAATCGCAAGTTATACTTGGAGAAAGAAAATTAAATGCTAGCTCCGTAGTTAAATTAATTATATTTCCTGTAGTAGTAAAAGTTTTGATTATTGTGGCAAAAACTTAGTTACTTTAATTTACTATACTTAATACTTAGTGATACTATAGTAAATTGAACTCAACTTTAGTAAACTTTAGTTTAGTACATTTTGTTAAGGTCGCATAGGAATAGGACTATTCGAACATGTATAGTAAACTGTAGTTAAGTTTTGTAAATCAAAGTATCAACATTTTTAATTATTGTAAATAAGAGTTTTTACACTACTATAGTAGTGGATGGAAGTTTTTATAAACTATTATTTTTTTAGATATGAAAAAAAAAAAAAAACACAGCGTAAAATTACTTGTATTTTCAAATATTATTTCAAAAACTACCGTCATGGATATGAAATTTGGAATATGTGTTCTAAATCTGCAGAAGAGTTAAGTAAATGTGACAGAGTAAAGAATCTAAGTAAATCAACATATGAAAGTAAAGCATCAAAGTTTTAAGTCAATCAAAATATTAAAACATACAGTATACGAAAGTAAAACTATAGTTTACTGCAGTAAACTAAATTTAGATAAAGTATATTTTGTGAGGATAACAACAGCTGCCCACAAAAATTTGTATGAAAGCGTGAATCTACATTCTTTAACTTGATATTCAAAACTCTTTTTTTAACATTTTACTCGGACCATTCAGAGAAAAATGGATAGGTATTTTGCTTCGTTTGATCGCTCATTTGTATCGTTAGATCGTGCTTAATACTAAGAATGTGTCAAATAATCTTTTACACATATAAAATCAATTACGCAATATTTTATACTAAGAAATATTAATATGAACCATCTTAAATTCTTGTTCTGATGCAAAAGGTTATCTAATACATAAGCCTCACTTTTTTGTTTGAGGTCACAATTCTTCTCGCTTGTTTAAGAGGTCTAAATATTTTCTTTAATCACAACTTTTTTATTCATTACTGTTCTTTGCTTTTTTACAATTCACAATTTTAATAAAACTAGGCACACATCGCCAAGATTTTACTTATGAAATTAAAACATTTTTTTATGGAAAAAGAGTAGATAGTAAAAAACATGGCCCTTACAATTGTTTCATTTCAAATTCTAGGAATGTTTGCAGTCCAAACTAACCATGCTGCCAATCTCTCTCGCCATGTTGATGGTCATATGACATGGACCTACAAAAAGACGGTGTCAGTACTCCTGGCATGGATAGGGTTCGATGATAGTCACTCAAACATCCGGCATTACAGTGTCAACATTGGGTCCTCCTTCTTTTTATCGGATCTAAATCAGGTATGGCAAATGAAAAACGATGTAACAGAAAATAAACAAATCAGTGGAATTACATAAATTAGTTGGAATTTACACTGAAATTTGTTTGTATAATGGAATATGTTTTATTCTATAGGAACCTGGAATTCCGTTTGTCACCGCTCACAATGATACAGGGATAAACAAAAGTGGAGAGGGTGTTGTTCAAACCAGTATCATCCCGACCCAGAGTCTCACTCGACATAGATATATCTACATTCACATGTGGGCAGAAAATATGGTAAGAACTTCAAGATAAACATACATGTATTTATTTCAATCTTTATTGTCATCGGTTAATGATTGACTGAAAAACTTTGCTGCATTTTTCCACAGGCAGGTCTAAAAAGTGCCATCATTCATTTCAAGTTTAAGAAAGAGGCTGGTGGGCCTCTCCATTTGGTACGTCGCTGTGACGCTTACACTTGTGAGGGACATTGCGTCTGCGCGGCCCAAGATGAGAAATGTCCAATCACAATTCCTGTTACATGTGTTAATGATACAGCAAGTATGTACATGACAATTAAATTATTCTATTTGTTAATCTAATTTTATGATAATTTCATTCGAAACTACGTAGGCCCAGTTGGAGGTATACTGAAATAACAACATAACAACATAATTATGGCGATAAATCATTTTATTAGAAAATTACATGATAAAACATTTTTTTAATAAATGTATCTTTTTTACTTCGTAAGCTGGTTCACACAGTGTTATCATGGTGACAGACCATCTCGGCTTCGGATCTAGTGACGTGGAATATACACCATCAGATACGGTGCTGCAGGGTTCTTGGGTGATCACCCTTAATAAGGGATACAAACCAATATGGTAAATATGAATGATATCTTCAGGATCCGCTGGGCTTAGTCCGTTTCTCTTCCACAAAGTAATATAAACTATAAGGAAAGAAAGAGATGGGACTTGGAGATGAAGTGCAAAATGATCAACTCTCCTCTTACGCTTAAAAAATGTTCAAAATGGTATTGCTGGCGAAATCATTTAACTACATGTACATGTTGTTAAGAACTTACGTACTACCAGGTATCAAACTCTAAACGTAACAGAGATGTGCGCGTTGATCAATCTAATATAATTCTACTTCTGCTTTTGATTAGCATGTTATCATCAGCAGAGAAAACATATATCTCAAAGTTTGAAATTAACAAGAGAATCAACCCACACTATACTTTTCTACTTGTATATAGTTCTTGCAAAATGGCTATCATATCAAATTTTGAAAGTGCTTGGGTTAATTAAACATGCGAAAATCGTTTTGCATAGGATTACAACAAAGTGAAACGTATGTAAGCGATATCTATATTATATGTAGCTGAGATACAATGACATTTCAAATTAATCACTTGACAGAGTCTGTAACCATATATTAAGCTATGTCTTACCTTGAATCAGTGAAAAAAAAAAAACAAAAAACAAAAAAAAAAAAAAAAAACGAGCGGCACAGTACAATTATAACTTTGTTTACAAGACGCAGTTAGATGAATTCAACGACAATACCATTTTTTTTTTAGGATTGAAGCAAATCAATCAATTTCTCTTGAGTTTGACGTACATTTCCAAAAGGATTTCTTTATAGAATACATTATTTCTGGTAACAAAGCGAGCTAAGCGTCTTGTGCTTGCAATGTACATGTTAACATCATTAAAATACCTTCTTGTGTGCCGAATATTAAAATATGCAGCATTAATTAAAATATGCGAATACAGTAATTAATGCATTGCTTAAAGTTGGGATGTATTTATCCTAATTGATGTAAAGCTTCGGGAAATCATTAATAATAATAATAATTTTGCAGTTAATAAATTTATAAAAGGTATTAAAAAATTTATTCTTGTGAGTATTTGTATAAAATGTAAAATAGGTATCAATGGAGTGTCGGATATTCAAGTGAAGACATTCCAGAAGGCGTCTACGACGCGTCTACAGAACTGGTGTGGCATGACGCAGCGTCCATCACCCAAATGACATTCACAACAAAGAAAGGTAAGAATTTCACAGATTTATAAAAATATATTTTATTGACTTTAGTTTCATTTATTCATTTATTAATAACATTACAATACAATATATTACTTAATTCTATATCAATTATGCATTTTAGGTCAATCATTGAAACAAGGGATGAGATATTCCTTCTTCGTTCGGGCTTGGTACTCCACAACCGTATTTGCGGATTTCAAGTCTAATGGTGTCATTATCTCAAGTCAACCTCCGCTCATCATTGTTACTAACGGTGCTGCGGTAAGCAATCTAAGAGGGTCTTAATAATGTTTCTATTAATGTTTTAACAGATTTTTGAGTGATCTTTTTTTTTATTAGGATTAATACGCTTTTAAAGAAAAAGAAGTTTTATTTCAGGTTACAGAGATAAGGCGATACAGTACAGTTCGAGATATGGACTTCATCAAGTATGGCTCGCAAGTCACAGTGGACTGGACCAACAAGTTTGTGAACGCCTCTACGCTGGTTGCCAATTTCAAGTTGTACATCAGCACCAAACCTGGAGGACACAATATCCACTCTGTGGATGCCATCTTAGATGGGTCTTCCACAAGGTTTAATATTCTAAGTATGGGTGTGGAGAGTGGTGTTCGATATTATAGTAATGTAATAGCCTTTAACCACGCCGGAGTGCACTGGACAGAAACCTCAGACGGGTTCGTCCTGGATAATACACCACCTGTCAAAGGAGTAATTTACGATGGCACAGGTAAAAAAATGCTTTCTTGCAATGAACGATTACATAAACTCCATTCAAAAGCAGAGTATGTTATTTTTTAAATCCCACTTCTAAGGCAATAGACGAGTGCTAGTATATGATCTATTACAATCTTTCATTGTAGGTCTAGAAGACTTGGATTTTCAGGATTCAGATTCAGTCGTTGCTGCTCGTTGGCATGGGTTTAATGACATGGATTCTGGGATAAGGTGGTATCAATGGTGTGTTGGATCTACCCCCTCTATAGCAGGTGACAACGTCTGTGATGTTGTGCCTTGGAGAAACGTTGGTATTCATACCAAAATCAAACTACAACTCTCAAAAACACTTCCAAGTAAGTAAAAATTGCCTGCCATATTTCCCAAAGCACGTTTTATGGATTAATCGATTACACGTATATAGGAATTAGATGAAACATTGTCTTATGTATCTTTCCATGTTTTTGTCTTTGCAGAATGTGTCTATAACAAAGTGTATGCTACTGATCAGGTAGGATACACTTCCCCTATCGCTGTTTCCAATGGTTACTGTTCAGACACGTCGTCACCAATGCCTCTATATCTGACAACACTGGAGGCTAACATTGTCGTCAATGGTGCCTTTAATACTTATAATCGTTATGTTAAATTTCTGGATTTAAACACCACTGATATCTGTGATATGGCCAACAAACTGGATGCCACAGGGTGGACTTTGCCTTCCGGTGCTTGTGCAGTTATTGTAGAGTCAAGTCTTTCTCAGACTGAAAATTCTTTTTTACATGTGCGCGGTGTGGTTCAGCAAGGAGTCTCACTAACTCCAGGCTTATATAGACTGACTTTTGTGTCTAGTCACGCGCATATAAATGATGCAAGAGTCGCCAACAAGGAGGGGTATATATCACTAGGAGAACAAAAACATGTATTCATGCTGTATACTAAACCATATCGTCAGGATGGACATGCGATAGAATCTGAGAGAAAGATAATATCTTGGCATAACCATACGTTTTATTTCAATTTAACAAAAGGTGGAACTTATGAGTTGGTAGTAGGATCTGTTGGACAAGGAAGTGGAATATATGTCGACGATATTAGGTTGCAATTTATAAATACTAGTGAAATTTCTGTATTAAGCAATGAAACGGTGCACGGTCATACCACGTTTTTACATGAATGGGCGTCTGTACATGCTGGATGGAGCTTTTTCAACCCTGGGCCAAGTCCAATTATTAATTATATGTGGGCTATAGGTTTGTAGCATTCAGAACTCTTTATTGTTTTTTTTCTTTTCTTAAGATTGAGATTGAGTGTTGAGCATTATTTCCGTATCTTTTTGGTTGTTGTAGGTTTTTCTCATGGTGGAATTCAGATACAGAGTTTTAAAAACACTGGTTTACTTCCATTTGGATCCAAAAATGATGTGACTTTGGTACACAACGCTTCTGTATACTTTACCGTGACTGCTACTAATGCAGTCGGAAGAACTGCTGTATCATACTCCGATAGAATTCTTGTTGATTTGACTCCACCACTGATACCTGAAGTAAATGATGGCCGGGGTAACTGTCAATTTGAATTCAAAATATTGTAAGTTATATTGGTATCAGACAAATGCTTGAAAATAACTAATTCTTTTATAGGTTCTGACGAGGATTACAGTGGAATTAGCACTGTGTTTGTGAACTGGAAGGCTTATGATCAGGAGTCAGGAATACGTTCTTGTGAATGGGCTGTCGGTAAGTATTAACCCTAGAGGTTCTTACAAGTAGTTGTTTATGTTGATATATATTTTATTTAAACAGTAGTATTTCATATCAGCCAAAGACACATGAGAAATTTTAATAGCAAAGTACGTCTGTCGTCATATGGCGGTCTGTGGTTTTTTACCTTTCCCTCCTCAAAACTGATTTCATAACCGTCTTCTTCTACAAACACTCAGACAATTTAAATCAAAGTACATGCAAAAATACTCATGGATGAAAATGGGAATGTTGTGTTGTGTGGATCCTAAATTTATTCAGTTTCAGCATTAAAACACAATGATCCACAAAAAAATCAAAAGCTTCTAAGAATATTTATTGGAGAAAGCAATCCAAATGAACATTTGGACTTATGTGCATCTGTTTTTAATCTTTCATGAAGTAAATTTGGTAATGAAATATGTATGTGATGAAAAATACCGTATTTAATTTTTTAGGGTTTTCTCCACAATCAGTTGACTTAAAGAAGTTCACCGTTATGACAACCTATTCAGGATATATTGATGTTAATTTCACGGACACGGAAAACAATACTATCTACAGTTCAGTTCGCTGCACTAACCATGCAGGTCTTACGTCATACGCATATTCTGATGGAATCAAAATATCCCAGAATGCACCAAATGCTTCAAACGTGCAGATTACTCATGTGGCTCTTTCACAAACCGTGTATCCCCCGTCTGATGGGTTCCAGGGAGTTTCGGATTCTGTCCGATTATTTTGGAGCGGATTTGACGATACTATCGGAATAAGTTCTCATAGAGTAAGGAGCTACATACGTATTTAATCAAATAAAGATTGAGGTGAAATCAAGAGTAGAGGGAATCAATATATATATATATATATATATTTGTACATATAATTTTAGATGCATAAAATGTTTCTTGATGACGATTACAGAATGCTTGGGTACTAGTTTATCTTGCAAAGGTTACTGACATTTATTACAGTCTTTTATTTTGTTTTAATATTTCTATCTGCAGGTGGTGCTTGACTTTGCCAACATGGATGAAGATTTATATACAACAGTAACTTACCCACAGAACCAAACAGTTCAATATATGTACGTTACTAGACTTTCCATGAAGGACGGAATACAGAAAGTCAGGGTCAATACAAAGAATGCCCTTGGAATATCAAGCGAAAATGTACTCTATAACATTTCGCTTTATTCTTCGGCTCCAGATAGAAATAGTAAGCATACCGTAATTTCTTTCAGCCCACGAACATAATTGTTGGTTTATTGTAAGAGTTAAAATTGTTGAGAGTTAAACTGGTACATGGGTTAAATCAGAAAGTTGAATATGTTGTTTACAAGCATACGGAGGCAGAAAGTTCAAGATATTTTTTCCGTTAATTTTATTATTTTAGGCAGTGTCAACCCAAAAGTAACTTGGAATCCGACGACCTCGAAATTTAAGGCAACCTGGCCTAATGTATTTTCCTCCGCGCATGCTATGAGGTTTGAAGTTTCTGCTGGCCTGGCAGAAGGTGGAGCTGAAATTCTACAGTGGGCGGAAACTTTAAATACAGAGATTGAGTTTGAAATGCCTAAAAGTATAACAGACTTTAAAGGATATGACGTATTTGTGTACATCCGGGCAATTGCAGCAGGAGGACATTACACTGGAGTAAAGGGAAAGGTGACATTACCGTCATAGTATTTTAAGTTTGATATTTGGTCGGTGCTTACGAACGATTTCTCAAGAAGAGTGTTGCACTAGTAATGAAATGTATGTATCATGTCTCCCCTTCGACGAAGGGATACATATTGTTTTATCCTGATTTTTCTTGTTATTCACAAACTTTTTTATATTTTAAGGGAAGCTTGTGGTTATAAGACAATGTGTCAGATACATGAATCTTAAACTTTAACCTCAGTGTAAAACTAGCTTTTCATTGGGGGAGAGAGTGTTAAGAAATAATTATAAGAAGATATGTTATGTACAACCATAAACCATACATGATCATAGGTGCTCGGTTTCAGAATGGTGTACTTTGTGAATTGTGTGTTTTTGTGTGTCTGCCTATATACACTGAAAACAAAAATAACAATCAAAATGGCTGAAAAATATCCTTTTTATGTACATTTCAAAAATTATGTACAAAAAATACGATATTTTTTTCTATGCACATGACATTGGTTTTTTTACTTCAAAATCCAAATCGGTGATGGTTTAAGATGGGGAGGGGATACCAGGTATTTTAGGTTATTCATCCAAATACAATTTGTCTTCAACAGCTTTTCCCCTTACCTTAACCCCGGATTCATGTTTTTTTTTAATAAGGGGGTGGGGGTGTTATTGATGTTGAAATATAAAATATGAGTCATTGATTAATTCAGTGAATGTCTGCATGCTATTTTACACTCATTTCACTCTTATGTACAATAAGCCGTTTCCTGGATTGGTTTAATTAGTATACAGATTCACATAGTTTTGATTAAAAATCGTTCCTAGCGAAATTTGCATGTTCCCTGATGGTGTGATTGTGACATGATGTTATCTATGGTGTTACTTTAGATCAATGTATATTGTTTAATTGATGATCATGTTATAGGTCCCATGTACAGTGCAGAATGCATGTATAAATCACTTTGTCACGATTTTGAATGGACGTATTTGTAGACATGTTTCATTTCTAGTAAGAGGGAATGCACTTGGACAAGCTCATCAGATGAAATTCCTTGTTGTTGCAGTATGTGTGAAAGTCAGTCAAGACTTTTGTTGATGTAATCCCTTGCTTTTGATCAGATTTAATGAAAATATTTTTTTTCAAAAAGTGTTGTATGATATTATTTACGTAATTATTTTTATTGATACAGAATGAATATATAATAAATGTAAAATGTATGAATTTTCTGTGTGTTTCTTTGGTACATATATGTACAAAGTCAGTATGGCATAAAGAATTTGTTGGTTTATTTTGTTATGATTTTTCTTTTGTGCATAATTCCATCACTACATGTCTTTCATCAAAATGTTTTCGTTGTTTAATAAATATTTTCAAAATTGTGTTTGCCTTGATGAATTATAGATTGGGTGTTAAATCCCAGTTGAAAAAATGACCTGGGTCATTGCAAATTTAAGCTATTAAGATCAGATGCAAATATTCTTTAACTTTGTTACAGTGGTGATTTTTTTTCGAATGTATGGTATGAAATATATATGCATGGTGTCGGGTCATTTCTCTCTAAAACTGACGAATAAATTTTACAGATTTGAAGGTCTAATTTATATACTAGTAATATTACAAATATGAGACCAAAATTAAAATGGGTAATCAAAGCTAAGATTACAGAGTTCACCTCAACGAATGTTATCTTTAAATAAGGCATAGTCCAACACTAAGCTAAAAATCTAGAAGTGTGCAGCCCTAGTATGCATCCCTAAATACAAATTTATGCATTTTGGTCTTATAGTTAATTGCAGTTACTTGAGAAGGGGCTTGTTCTAAAGGCTTTAAACTAGTCACTCATCCAGAAAATGTAAGTTAAATAAAGCATCTGAAGAAAATTTGAGAGTATTCATCACTTGATTCATCATCCTTGCAAGTTTGGTATAGGTAGGTTTTGCAGTCACACTGGAATGAGTCTGCTCCAAAAAATAAACTTGGTCACTCATCAGGAAAATACAGGTCAAAATCAGCGTCTGAAGCAACTCTGGTAGTGTGCGTCCCTTGATACATCATCCGTGCAAGTTTGGTTCACATAGGCCTTATAGTTTCTTGGTAATGGACCTGCTCCAAAAACTTTAATCCGGTCACTCATCTGGAAAATATGAAGGTCAGGTACAGCATCTGAAGCCACTCTGGTAGTGTACATCCCTTAATACATCATTCATGCAGGTTTGGTTCAGGTGAGCTTTATAGTTTCTTGGTAATGGACCTGCTCCAAAAACCTTTATTTGGTCACTCATCTGGAAAAAAAGTCAAATCCAGCATCTGAAGTAACTCTGGTAGTGTAAATGCATCCTTAAATATATCATTCATGCAAGTTTGGTCAACAAAATACTTATATTTACTTTAGAATGGGTCTGCTCCAAAAACTTTAAACCCGGTCACTCATCCGAAAAATGTAGGTCAGATCCAGCATACGAAGTAAGTCAGTATAATGTGCATCCTAAGATGTTTTGGTGAATATAGGACTAATAGTTGCATGTACTCGAAACTGAACCTGCTCCAAAAACTTTAATCTGGTCACTGATCTGGAAATTTGGGTCAGATTCAGTATCCGAAGGTATTCTGCAAATACAATCCGAGTTTCAGCAAAACTTGCGTTTCTAGTCTCAGAGAGTGGGATGTCTTAAAACGTTGCACCGAATTTTCAAGAAATAGGCGTGTCATTTTGTAACAATCGACGCTCTATAAGAAAAATCAAAACGTTCTATTCAAACGGAAAATTTTACCACTTCAATGCGCATTATATTATAAAAGTGATTATAGGATGTGTCTCGTGAGCATTTACTATCACAGGCTTAGCATGGGGCTATATACCTTGGATAATCTCTCTCTCCTCTTTCTCTCTTTCTAAAATCTACTTGGACCGAAAATTAAAATGGAATTATAAGACAGGCTTTTTTTTTTTTAACTTGATGATTTTTTAATTTTTTTGTAGGATTTTACACTAATTCATACTGCAGCGAGAGTGATATCCCTCTATACAATTACTCACTATCTTGTCTTTGAACTATCTCTATCATTACAGAAGGACACAGCCAGAAGTCTTTTTATTTTTTATCGTGGTTTGTTACAAATTTCACAAGGAACTCCTATTGATCAAGATCAGTATTTTGAACTATTTTCAGTAGGCAGAAATGAACTCGATCAATTCTGCTTGAAAAGTACTCACTGTGAACAATCACCTGACTTGTTGAAGACAGGTAAACATACCCCTCAGGGTATTATTATCATACATAGGCCTGTACAAAATTGAACAGTCAGGATTACATCATCATTATCTTAGTTAAAATAACAAGAAACACACTAGAAGTGTGATGAAATATTGAGAAACACAAAGAGTTTTATATTCTTTCTTGTGTAAAAACAATTTTTCACAAATGAAGGGTCAAACCTTCTTTTAACAAAAAGCTTCTTCTCAAGAATCACCGGACCAGAATAGTGTAAAATTATGTGATACTTCCTTACTCAACTTTGTCCAAATCATGATCTTAAGGGGTAGGATGGGGCCACAATAGGGGATAAAAGTTTTGTAAATATTGGAGTGTACAGTAAAACACGCTTATAAAAAAAACTGCCTGGGACGAACGGTTTTGCTTCGTTATAAGTGTAATTGCTCATATCAGTTAAGTTTACGATATATTTTAAAGTCATGGGAAATGTAACTCGATTTGATGTAGCGTCGATTCATTATAAGCGTGTTCACAATAAGCATGCTTTACTGTATAAGAAAACAATATTCAAAAATCTTCTCAAGAAGCACTGGGCAAGAAAAGTAGAATCTTATGTGAAAGTTTCATTACATAATGTAGATTTCAAAACTCTACTCCTTCTACAGTTTTGATGCGACAGGTAGACTATACTAGTCTACATATTGTTTTTGTCAGTTTTCTTCTTCAATCAAATTTTGTCCCAGCCGTAACTCGACAACCCTTTGACATTAAGACTTCAAACTTGGAACATGGAGAGGTGGTATAGAGGTGGGGTTGAGGCCACCAAACTTTTTTGACCTTGACCTTTTGATAAGGTCAAGGTCAATCTTTACATCAAAGTATAGTCCAGGCTATAACCTGGGAACCCTTTGACATAAGGATTTCAAGCATGTACCATAGAAAGAAGACATTTACAAAAGATGCACTGCACCAAAATTTTGTCCTGGATTCTTTTCTTCATTCAAGGCCAAATTGAGAAAAACACCTCCAAACCATAACTTAAGAGCCTTTTGACATTAAAACTTCAATCTTGGAACATGGAGAGGTGGTATGGAGAAAGGGTGCATGCCAATGATTATTTTTCCTTGACCCATTTATAAATCCAAGGTCAATCTTTTACATGAAAATATAATCCACGGCATAATGTGAGAAACTTTTGACATAAATATTATGAATTCAAATTTGGAACATGGATAGAGGACACTGACACAAGTTTTGCTGCATCAACTTTTATTTTACCTTGACCCTTTCTTCATTTAAGGTCAAATTAAGAAAAAACACAACCAGACCATAACTCATGAAATCTTTGACATTTAGACTTTAAACGTCATTATTCGCCCCTCATTTGACATGTACACCCAGGGTAAAAATGAAAATTCCAACACCTTATTGAACGTCTTCAAGATCGATACCACCAGTCATCTTCCAAAAGATGACTAGGCTACTGCATAAAATGTAAGAGGAATTCTGGGAACCAGGGCCTTTTTGTATAAAAAAAAAACACACGTCATTTTCCGACCCCCTCCCCCCATTTGACCCCTAGGGTGAAAATTAAAATTCCGAAACCTCATTGCATATTTACAGGACACCACCAGTCATCTTTTAAAAGATGATTAGGCTACTGCATAAGTAAGAGGAGTTCTGGAAACCAGGGTCTTTTTGTATAACCTTATTGCACATCTACAGAACACCACCAATCACCTTCCACAAGATGATTAGGCTACTGCATAAAATGTAAAAGGAAGTCTGGGAACAAGGGCCTTTTGTATTTAAAAAAAAACAAAACAAAAAAACCTCATTTTTCGACCCCCAGGGTGAAAATAAAAATTCCAAAACCTTATTACACATCTACAGGACAACACCAATCATCTTCCAAAAGATGATTAGGATACTGCATAAAATGTAAGAATAGTTCTGGGAACCCGGGTTTTTTGTATTAAAAACACCATTATTCGACCCCCATTTGACCCCTAGGGTGAAAATGAAAATTCCGAAACCTCATTGCACATCTACAGGACATCACCAATCATCTTCCAAAAGATGATAGGGCTAGTGTGTAAAATGTAAGAGGAGTTCTGGGAACCAGGGATTGGTAGAAAAACATCATTTTCGACCCCCATTTGACCCCTAGGGTAAAATGAAAATTCCGACACCTTATTGCACATCTACAGCAAGCCCGTAGGAAGCAAACTCAGTTTTTTTTTTGGGGGGGGGGCACAGCCATACATTTTCAGTTGACAGTTGAGGGGCCACTACCAAAAATTTTCCTGACAAGCGAAAAAAAAGAGCATCAACTACAAAAAATTCCTTGACATGCAAAAAAAGGTCATCAGACGTTTTTATTGAGGGGGCACAAGCATATAGTATCTATGTTTACTATAGTATTCTATATATTGGCAAAATTATTGGAGGGGGCACCCCCCCCCCCCCGGGTTCTTCGGCCATGCATATGAGGTACTGATTTCAAGACTGAGTAAATGTTTTGCTCACAGATGTATCAAGATTTCATTTGGCCTTCACGGTCGCCGGGGGGTTTATCGCCGGGATGGGGAGCGTTACTCGGATGCTTGTTTAGTGCAGCGTCGACAATTTGAAGGCGGTAGCGTAATGGTGTGGGTTGGTATTACAGCACACGATAGGACCCCTTTACAGATAATCAATGGAAACCTGACATGTAGGCATTCGCTATAGTGATGAAATAATCCAACGTCATGTGATATCGTTCATACGGAGACAACAAAATCCCATTACCCTGCAACAGAATTAGGCCAGACCGCATGTTGCCCGTGTTGTCAGAGACTTTATTGCCCAGCAGAATGCCCTGGCCAGCAGTTTCACTCGACTTGTCACCTACTGAACACATATGACATGAAATGGAAAGTTGGTTACGTCGGTTACCAAACCAGCCAGTGACGTTGGACGATTTACATGTAGGCCAGGAATTTACCAATATCTGGAACAACATTCCCTATGGAACGCCATAGCTGCCTGAAGGTCACTTTCATATTATATGATGTGGTATAACCTTTAAATGTAGTAGTGAAGTCGTTATATATAGTGATAAAATCATTATATCCAGTGATAACTTTATTATATGCAGTGGTTTTATCATTATATACAGTGGTAACATCATTATATGTAGTGGTTAAATAGTGTAATGAAGTGATAATATCGTTACATTATGCTGTAAAATCATTATATGCAGTGGTTATTCCATTATATACATTAATGAAATCTTTCTCTGATGTGATATGTTCAATATATACAGTAATAAACACAGTTTGTGTGATAGTGCAATCATTACATTATATGAAAAACGCTGCATGTGGAGTGCTAAGTTCATTTCATTCAGTGCGACACCTTTACATGAAGTGAAAAATCTATTATGTGCAGTACTAACATCATTATATTATGTAGTAACATTATTATATATATATATATTAAATCATGCTATGCAGTGGTAACATCTTTATATGAGGTGGTTAATAATTATATATCGTTGTTAATTCGTTATATGAAGTGGTCAATATTCTTTATATACTTTAGTCGTTTCATGTTATGCAGTGGTAACTTCTTTATTATCATCTAAACTGGTCCTCTTAAACAGTAAAAAGCGCGCGGAGATCCAGTATAAAGCAGCCAGCATGGCGTCACGACTAGGCCTAGCTGATCTGCTGGAAGAAATCGGACTGCAAACACTGATTCACAGATTTCAAGAAGAGAAGGTAGAACTTTCCGATATACAATCATTGTCTGATGCAGATCTCAATAGACTCGGAGTTTCAACAATTGGAGACCGAGTGCGATTACGATCGCGAGCGATAGAGGAGCCATCATGGCCATCGACATCAGGCTCAGCACCAGTGCCGGCTCCTCCACCAAGCGGGCTCCGGCCGCCATTTCTTACTGCTGACAACGTAAGAAAAGAGAGGGATCTATTGTTCCATTCCCGAAAAAGAAAAAATAGAAACGAACTAGGTAGGTTAAACAACAATCGTTTTGAAAGATTGTATTGTGGCATGCCACGGGCACTGGAAATATCCTCGTATTAAAGCCCATATTTCGTTTAAATAAATTGAATTTAATAAATTATTTAATTTGGGATGTATATCATGATTATCAATCATAGTTGGTGTTTTTATCATTAGCTGATTAACTGTAGGGAGGTAGTATCGTTTTTGAAAGGGGGGGCAGCCAGAGAAAAAGAAATTCAATTTACCTGAAAAAATTTGACAAAAAAAAGGAAACTTGTCCAGAGACCTATATATTAGTTAGTTAGTATATAGGTCCCTGACTTGTCAAAACTCAAAAACCCTGTTTCCCGGAGATGAGGTTGGAGTTGTAAGATCGAACTTCTTTCAATACCAAATTTTTTCCACGCACTACTACATTAACCTTGTTTGACTATACTACTACAACAAGTGTGTGGGGGGAGGGGGGGGCAACCAGCCCTTAAATGAGCATTCCCAATAGTAAAAAGTTATCTTTGCCCCCCCCCCCCCCCATGCTACCCTGCTGGCCTGCCCAAACTCTTGAACCTGTTAAGGCATATACAGTTATACTATGAAGAAAGAAAAAGAGAGCATATATCCTTTTTTAAAACAAAGAGGGTGTTGCAGAAAGTCACAATTATTCCCTAAATCAAGAAGGACATTTAAATATCCACAATGTATGAAGAGTTATCTGTAAATATAGATAATGCTACATAGATGACTTTATTTATACCACGCCTATGTCCAGCTTGTTATAACAAAAAATTTCACATTTTATGTTTATTTCATGCATAGTTTTTTTCCGAACATAGACTGGCGACCTGTAAGTAAATTTTTTTTCAAATCTGTGGTCACTGTCGCCATATGCCTATATTGCACGAGAAAAGTTAGAACGATAAAAAGTACAATTAATGCCAAGTGCACCTCGCACATCATTTTGAAAGATGTACTGTAGACACTAGACAGCTTGTGTTAATATTTTTCAATATATAAAAATGTGTCCAATAATCACACTGTTGATGCAATATCCAAGAAATTCCATTGAGTCATTTCAATTTAGTTATTTCAAGTCAAATCTGAGCCACTAATTAACAGAACAATAATGAAACGAAATGCGTATGAAAAAATTAAATTATTTAAAATGATAGTACTTTATTTTTCAAGACATCGCCACTAATTAATAACATTAAATATATGTATTATTAGTTTTAGATCACAATATCAAGGAAAACAATTTAATTCTGATGCATTTAAAATATTACCCATTAACTTTCTGACATTCTCTTTCTCTCTCAAGAGACATGTTATATTATTGTACTTCCATTATATAAGAAAAAAATATGTATAATTATATAAACCAGCCATTCTAGGATTTGAACCCATTCTCAGGTAAAGGAATCTTTGTATGAGTCCAAACGCTTTATCAATAGACCAGCTCCGACAGTGAATGATCATGTGCTGTTTTATGTGCACATTTTGCATTTCGGATGGATATAATAATTTTTATTCGAATTTTGTGATTTTCAAAAATATGCGTCTTTGAAACAAAAATCGGAAATGGAAGTTTTGAAGAAAAATCCTGTCTCTTTATGCGTATATCAAATTCATTCTGTTTCAAGGAGGCAATTTTTCAGAACAATGGGGATTCCCTATTTGAAAAACAGAAAACTTGACTTATTTTGCTATGTGATTAATTTACACTTCATTTAATGGCAAATTGGAAGTCGATATATATATATATATGCAGTTTCTGTTTCTAAAAATTGTTCTACATTGTGCTGTATATACCGTTGTATATGAACAAAATTTAAGACTGTTTTCTGTTACTTAAAATTTTTCTTTTAAGAACCCTCTCTACACTGCACACTTAAGACTTTAAGAGTTCTGATTCTATGGTACTTTTCTGCAATTAGAGTGATCTGCCCTTAGATCTAAATTCCAATAAATTGAAATTTACAGTATATTACTCAATTTGTAATCAATGCAAGTATTCTTAACATTTAAAAGGCCAAAATGAATTAACTAAACACTTTATTTACACACATTTTCTCCATGGGAGTAAACAACAGTGATATCTGTTCACTGATACATGGTTGTGTTTGAACATTTTTCCTGGGGGTAAATGCCATGTACCATACATTGAAAATTAATGGATAAGCTCAATATTTACACCTTTATTCAATGTAATTTTCTCCATGTCCCAAAAACATTTTGCACTGGTGTATAGAGGGTCCTTAAACTGCTACAACTTTAGGGAAAACAAGCATTCTGAGCGTATTGCATTAGCAATACTAGTCCCCTACTGGCAAGTGTAATCTGGTTCCCGTTAAAAATTGAAAATGCCATAATTCTGTCAAAAATCAATGAAGTGGAACGAAATGCAAACTTGATCTATAACTAATTAAGGCCAAACAAAAAAATATGTGTGGTTCCGGTTACACCTCCAAAAAAATTAGGGTAGGTAGGTAGGGATTTTTTTTTTTTTTTTTTTTTTTTCACAAAATGATTTTCTTAATTATTCTAAATAATACTTATCACTACTTTGCAAATGACATTTAGATGTGGTGTGATAAAATACTAGTCAGTATTGGTAGGGGACACCTACATGCTAGCTTACTTTGGATTTAACACTAATAAACACTTGCACTATGTTGTGCAAGGAGGCTGTCATTGCTGAAACTAAAACTTAAACCGGAGCCATTGATGGAAATTGGGGAAAATTCCGGAAAAAATATGAAAATTGTCAAAAAAAGTTTAGGGTCGGGGGGTATAAAATAGGGACGGTCGGGTAACCGGAACCACACATATTTTTTTATTTGGCCTAAGGTAAAGTCACATACCAAAAATCAGCTCAATATCTGCAAGCGTTTAGAAGAAAATCG